GCAATGCTTCGTACAACTGGGAGAAAATCAAAAGGGCAATATGCGCAGAAAGTAAATGCAGGGTTATTATTCAAGGTGCTTATATCCTATCTATGACTATTTTGTGGGGTTTTGCTGTTTGGTTTTTTGATAAAAAAGCGACAACAGATAAATCTCTTACTCCTGAAAAATCAAGAGATTATAACCAAGATTGCATTTTGAGCATTTTTGACGCCCATGACGTCTGGCACATTTTATCATCCCATGCTCTTCTCATGTCAGCGTATGTTGTCATGTTTATGAGTCATCGCTTTACATGTCCAAAAAACCCAGACCGCTTTGATGATTTGTCTACCGTCGTTCACAAATCGAGACACAGGATGAAGAGTTTGAGGGTGATCAGCATGCTGGATAGAACTCTAACACACCGGAAGTAAGCAACGTTATCGAAGTGTGAAAATGAGTAGCATGAAAGAAGAAAATGGCAACATGAACCTTCCACGTTCCTAAAGTGTGAAAGGTGTCTTGCAAATCGACTTCTGGTATGACGGGTTGACTTAAACTGGGACGAGTCGTTCGATTCGAAAACATTTTCAACAACCCTAGACAGTTTCGACAGTTACTTGTGAAATATTTTCAAAGTGTCTTTCAAAATGACTTATGCGTTTCCATCTGATAAGAGATGGTTTATCAGATTTCCGGTAAAAACGGGACGCATCAACCGCGAATCGACTTCCGGTAAAACGATTTGCAAACTGCCTTTGACGAATCGTAGCGGTTTGGGTGTATTGGACAACCCTAAAGTATTCAGGTATTTGGGGTACAAAGGTTTGCATTGCCGTTAATGTGTCTCTGGTTTCTGTCCTTCAGTGGCTTTCATAACAACTTATAGGTTCAATGTAGGTCTGTGAAAATATGGCTCCATTAAGTTCAGAACATAGAAAAAGTAGTATAGTAATCACAGGCCTTTTACGAAATTACTTATTACCTTACTTAAAAATTATGTCAGGAAGTTTTCGAAACTACGTGGAAATTTGAATGTGTTTTATCGAGTTGACCCCTCCTTCAGCAATTTGCTATTGAAACAGTCAAATCAGGACAATAAGTATTTTTGTTTATTTACGGGGGAATTTAGGGGGGCTGCATGTGACCCTTTCCTGATCGTCATGAGAAAGTGATAATTTCTGATAACCAAAAAGCTTGGAATACCGATAGTGTAGGTCCTTCTCAAAAACCTTTGAGCAAAAAGAAATTACATTAATTAACGTTTCTAGTTCACACTTTAAAAAAGCGCTGTCATCAAGCCAGCAAAAAAAGAACTTCCGAAATTTTATCGCACGTGGGCTTTTTTACTTTAATTTTTCATGCTGCTGTTTGTTTTAGGTTATACTTATACTTAATTTCATAAACATTTGTTTAAGCTATATCAAAAGTAAATATCCAAAGAAATGTAGCATTTTTGAGACCTGTATGTTTACTTGTGATTGTCTTTTAATTGAAAAGAACTTTGTAAACACGCCAACCGTAAATTAAATTAATGTTAATAGTATTGTAATACATGTATCGTAATGTAGTGTATGCATAATTAGTGTAAGTATAAGTAGTGTAAGTAGCAAGTACAATGTAAGTGTAATTAATACTGTAAGTAGTGTAAGTGATCGTCTTGTAAATAAAATTGTTTAAAAAAAAAAAAAAGCCAGATCTTTTACAATAATCTTCATTTAAATGAATCGCACGTTTTATAACCAAAGAATTATTAGAAAACTGTGTCTTTTACCAGTAAACAACGCTTTGTAGTCTTAAATTTTTTTAAGTGTCAAAGATCTGGTCATAAATCATCGGAAAGGTTAACAGGCCCAAAAAGAGGTGATAATCTATGAAGGATGTTATTTATGTGCGGACCATGTGGCATATTGTAATCCTGTCCATGTTAATAAATTTGTCTTTTCAATTTTTTTGAAATTATGTTAGAGGATATCAAAATCCAATTAAAGATCTTTCGCATAAACGAATCCAGACCAGACAAATACTAGCATATAATACATCAAAGCCCATCGGAGGAAAACCAATCCCGAAACTCTTCCCAACAGAGCAGCATTCCACAATAACATTGAGGAGAAAGTGGAGGCCGTATTCGTATTAATCGGTATTAATCGTAAATCAGTATCTTTCCATGAGCCATCATTTCAGCCAAAATCTCCTTATGTCAGGCTCATCCGGCTGAAAGTTTTTATGGTTTCCAGATCAGTCATCAGAAACGAAGCGTTTTCAGAACAGTTCACCTTTGAAAGGGTCAAAGTAAGGAGTCTATCTCAAGTCACTGATGTATATGTAAGCCAGAGCGCGATCAGAGTGTTCACCTGGAGTAACGAAGAGCTTGGTTCTATATTTTTCGATTCCTCTCGGGTCTGTTTAGAGTTGGACATCGAACCAAACCATTTAAGAAAGGACTTAATTCTTATTCTTACTGAAAGGTGAAGTAAATATCTCAGTGCAGTGAAAGAAACCTGAACTTGAATCAGTAGCACTGTCTAATTGTAACATAGCTTTAGAAATTACATAAACGCGGACATGCTTAGTTGTTACCTAACTGCCACATTGGGAAAAAACATATCTCGACCAAGACAACGTAACTTCTACTCTATACTCAGCTTATATGTTGAATAACATATACATAACTGATACTTCTCCAACATGCATGTGGATTGTAAACAAAACTTTATCACAAGGAAAAGTAATGGTTCAGGATTATATGGTTCGAATTGAAAAGACCCTTTAACTATTTTAAGTTGAATCTAATTTGTAAAATTCTTTTGGTCCTTTTACTCCCGTCAGTAACCAAAATTAAATTACTCCTCACAATATCACTATATTTTCGAGCAGAGTGGTGATTGGAAGAAACATACCGACTGATTAAGGATATTGTTTGATTTACTAGGCTAAAATTACAAAAAAGAGTATATCAGACCTTGCGGAGAATTTCTGTTTAGATCGTGACTGCGCAAAAACTTGACATTAGAATTTATACCACGATATCATATCTCAGAGTCATTTACTTATTGTCTGGTAGACTATTTTTGGGGGGTATTTGAGAGTCGTAATCAACCGCAAGAGACGGAGATTCCAAGTTGCTTTTCCTTCTTCATGCGCAGTTAAAGCTTGACTCTACAGCCTACACTGTTGCCGCTGGTCATAAAATTCGCCTGGCGCTCTCCTCAGTCCAATGGCCGTTAGTGTTGCCTTCTCCCCAGTCCTCAAGTCTCTTTATAAAGACAGGAAGTCAAAGCAAGCTACTACTTCCACTTCGAGCATCAAGTGAAGACGTCAGAAATAAGGATTCCAAGTTGCAATTGCAAGAGATGAAATCAACGATGGAGTATAAACGCGAGGTTCTTCCTTTTGAGTGGCGAAGAAGACCAAAGAAAGCAAGGTAAACTGAAAGAGGTGTGGACTGTCGCAGCTGGACATTTGTTGTGGTCCATGGAAGTGATTGTCACTCACCGAAACCAAACATTAGATTTTGGTTCCTTCCTCTGTTCGCTGGTGACTGGTTGATTGGCAGATATGGTCGTTCGATTCACAGTCTCACATTGTTTTTTTTTCTCGAGTTTACTTTGTTCAATATTCGTTTGCCGGTCCATCATGCCATCCTTATTTATGATATGGTCATTAGAATTCGTTGGGAAACAAATGCTCGGGAGCTTTCAATTGGTAAAGAAAAGGATTTAATTCAACTGTGTAACAAAAGGGGTGTATCATTTATCTTCCGAATATATTCCCTGTGGAGTAGTTTTCCTGTGGAGTAGTTTCCCTGTGGAGTAGTTTCCCTGTGGAGTAGTTTCCCTGTGGAGTAGTTTCCCTGTGGAGTAGTTTCCCTGTGGAGTAGTTTCCCTGTGGAGTAGTTTCCCTGTGGAGTAGTTTCCCTGTGGAGTAGTTTCCCTGTGGAGTAGTTTCCCTGTGGAGTAGTTTCCTTGTGGAGTAGTTTCCCTGTGGAGTAGTTTCCCTGTGGAATAGTTTCCCTGTACGGTGGAACTTCTCGTTCCAATAATCTGATCTTCGACTCTTTCATTATGTTGTCATGAAAGTAGTATTGTGCCCATGAAAGATGTTCCCTTTTTATGTAGGACGCTGGAGACATGTCAGCTGTCAGATGAATACAAGCTGTCATTTACCACTGACTTTGGATGTTTTCATCTGAAAGAGACGAACCGCATCTATGATAGCATCAGAAAAGAAATATTTACGATCAAAGAAGGCGACTCAACCACTGCTAAGGTTACAATACAAGGCCAGTTTGCATTAAAGAAAGAGGATCAGATCGCTGAGCAGGGAAACAGTAGGCGCAAAAGGTGGGAAACAAGGGTCCAGGCTTCGAGCGAGATGTGGTGTGATGAACAGTTCTTTTATGAAAAATCAGTTAACAGCTTGGCACTACAGTAAAGAGATATGACAGGATATGGACAAAGAAAATAGAACGCTTTTATTTTGTAGAAGATATTTTTTGACGAAATTTAAATCAAAACTTGGGTTGATTTTATTATTCCGTTTTTTTTTAATTTTTTTGGAAATAGAAATGAGTGGTGGAATTTTTTGAGTGACGTTTCGACGACGGATTTTTCTTACAGGTAGAAAATGGTAATATGGAGTCCTTAGGCGAAAGAAATTTGATTAAAAATAGATTTTTTATCACTGTTTTTATCTAAAACCTTTATTCTTTTTTTTTCTTTAAATTATTTCATATGATTTTTGAAAGCTGTGTCTCGCAGCACCCGCTGTAGCATAGCTGTCAAGGTGTGGCGTACTTGTGAAAATGTCATGTACTTGTCAAATAGTTGTAAATGTAATTACGTATGCTAATGTCGAGACGATATAAAAATAGGGTGCTTATGATGATAGGTTAGATGTCGTAGGCTGTCTTGTAATTTTGTGGATATTAAATTTGCTTGTTTGGATACCACACTCGCGACATGAGACCTGATAGGATTAGACATCCCTATTGAATTACACAGAAGGCACGCGGAAATTAAAGATTAAAAGGGAGTTATCTGAAGTCTCAACATGGCCGTTGCTGTTACACTTCTTCTAGTACTCTTGCTGTTCACTGTCTACCTCTGGCCCTTCGTAACACAAGCAAACCAGTTAACTGTCGATTGCTCTTTTGGAAAGGCAGAGGACTTAGCAAGCAATCTTACAATGTCTGCCATGGTTACAGGCAGACTTGCAGCTTCCAAATATCAGAGCCACTTATGTGTCGTGAAGACAAGTGGATCAAGCCATCAAAAACGCTTCTTGCAGGTGAAAGCCAAAATTTTGAACAGCGAATCGAATGGTAAGCGCATATATCTTCTTTCTTTTGACATATTGGGTAAATTTTCTTCGTTTTAAGCAACATATGCTTTTTTCGCGACAGAAATAGGCCAACTGCAAGTAGATTTTTGACATTAGTGTCACTTTATAATCCCGAGTTATGATGTATTGTAAAGAATATAGATTTGATGAAGAAAGGTTTACCATCTTAGGACATGAATTCTGCAAAACTTGTAGTTCAAGTAAAAGTTGTGAAAAATGCGCTATGGGTTTACGTGGAAGCCATCTCACGCGATCGAAAGGATGCACGCCTACTTTCGACGCCAAGGCTATCCCAGAGAGATATTTTATTAGTCATGTGTTTTATCTGTAAGTTTCTCTCATGAAAATTAGCTTCACGGCTGGTCGGCTTGTAGAACGTTTCTGATTGAAAGATGAAAGTGGTATTTCAAAATTTTTTTAGAAACCCGTCTGAACGAGAGAATGTTTACTTAAGTAGAATGCCATTACGCCTTGGCAACGCTCTGTTTTGATTACGAACTTTGCAATCCCTTATCCGTATAGTGTCAATAGAACTACATACTGAGTTAGCATAATCATAGGTTTTAACATAATAATAAGATACTATACGTATTCTGTAATCGTCTCAGCTCCGACCGAAGAATATACAGGCGCACACACCGAAAAAAGGACTCAGTGAAAAAATCTTTCGATGAAGAGTATTCACCCATACAGCCTATGGAACAGCAATAAATGGAAAAACTGTTTCCGGGAAACGATCCTGGCAGTTGGGGTTAGATGGAAGAAGTTCGATTTGATCGAGGTAGTTCGGGTTGAATGCATACTTTTCGTGCAACAACTTTCGAATCAGTCAACAATTTCAACTGGAATCCCAGTTCATTGTTGAAAAATACTCTAAGTTGTCTCGTCGTCTTTGTTTAGACAGATATCAGGAATAGATTAGACCGGTTTTGTTTGCGCTTGTAGGTGATACAGGAACAATTTCTCGGAAAGATAAAAACATTTTGCATCTGAAAGCTGAACGGCAAGTAACCACGAGTGGAGGGTATTTTACGAACCTTTGATCATTCCTACTGTGATGCGTTCCTTATCAAATATCTGGCTCCTCTTTGTCACAGTTATCGGCAGTGCAGTTATTTAAGGTCCCTTTTTTCAACGCAAAGTTTCCATTCTAGATTTATGATCTGCCCTGTTTAAAAATTCATAAAGCGACTGAGGTGCTAAAATCGCTTTCTTTGTGGAAAAATCCGTGAGTTTGTCACGCTATGCAGCAATTAAAAGGGAAAAATTTCCTAGGACATCTTGTCAAAAGGAAAAAACTTTTTTCCCTCAGCACTCGAATGTGCCATTCCAGCATACATGCGTAATTATCTCTATCTCTTAGGAGTTATCCATTTTTCCAGTTGCGTGATTGGTTGCCAAGCCTGTCAACAGAGGTGAGGCTAAGGATGACCTTGTTATGATACAAACCGTGCTGCTTTTCAAATGTAAATTACTTTGTTATCATGCTATCTAGATACTGGTCTCTACCACAACAAGGGCAACTTCAGCCTCACTCCAAATCAAAGGTTTTTAGCTGAATAAAAAAACTGTAAATTGGCCTGTTGCTGTTTCACTACTTTTAAAGGTGCCACGAGCTGGGCTATCAATTTCCCAAAACCAAGTGCAAACAAGAGGGTCTCGAAGGGGTGATGGCTTTCACGACTATTGGTTAAAATTTCGGCCATTGAACAGCTATTGTTTAATTTCATTCCGTTTCAGGTAAAAGAAACGTTTTTACACTCAACAAACCGTTTAAATTTATTTGCTCTTATTTTAGCTCAAACTGAATAAACTGATGTTAGTGAAATCACAAACATAGAAATTCTTGACAAGTGGCAATTATGCCAAAGGACCATCTTCGATTGACATCAGAATTTGAAAAAATCCTAAGCAGTTACTGGTATATTTGACTGTAAATCAACCAAGGTTTAAATCTTCACGTACCAAAAATTGAGGATTTATATTCCCTCCAACAGGATTTTTGCATGCATCAGTATATGGAACAGATAAACCCCAATTACTGGGCAACTTGGATGTATGGAAATCGAAAGGGGATTGGAGTTCTCTCATCATATGTCCGTCACGTGACCACAATAACAAAGATCAAGAAAAACATCTGGTACTCTCAGGAACACCAAACCTTGCCTTTAGAGTGCAGGTAGAAAGTTCTGTTGTGAAAATAGTGCTCAATAAACCACTGACTTTCGATTTAGGTCTATATGAATCATTCAAAGTGTTTCAGTTCATCCCAACGGAAGACATCTCAGATATGCAGCTTGACGTCACTGTCACTTCTGAATCTGACGACGTACCAGCTTACCTAAAAGTATCACGTGACTGCAAGGATGTCAATGAGAACATTGACGTTGTTGACTATAAGGGAGAGTCGATTCGCCTGTCTTTTGCTAAAAAGGGACGGATTACTTTGTCAAGAGTTTCTATTCCACCATTGACTGATTCCACCTCAAGCTGGTTTATTGGAATTGCAATTAAGAATGCGACAGGTGAGACACCAGATAAGGCGACTAAGACTGTGACATTAACTTTGAAAAGATCATTTAATTATTCCTACTTTTGGCCTATATTTTTCTTGGTCGTGTTGTCAGTAGTCTGTGGTGCCTTGGTGGCGTGCTGCGGCATTTGCAGCTTTTCGATCTCGCAAGAAGGGGGAATGGAAGAATGCTGTAAAGTTGTTTGGAGCTGGTTCAAACGTGGTCCCAAAACATACTCATACATAACTGGTGTTGCTGGCTTTGTGTTGATGATTGGTGCAGGCCAGTTTGTTTTCGCCAACTGGCATCTTATGATACAAGAAGGAGACAGAGACACTTGTTATTACAATGACTTTTGTTACAGAGTCAGCAAGTATGATGATATTCCATTCAATTTAATGATTAGTAACTTAGCATATATGATTCATGGCCTAATTCTGGCTATCTCTGTGATGTATATGGAGGCAAAACTATTTTCTCGTTATAGAAATAGTAATGATCTCCCCCCAAAGCATGCGTTTTCCATGGGTTATGCTTTTGCCTGGGCTTTATTTTTTGAAGGTTGTTTTTCCCTTGTTTATCATCTCTGTCCAACTAAGCTGACGTTTCAGTTTGATACAGGGTTTATGTTCGTCATTGCAGGATTGATCGCTGTTTTGTTGTACAATGGAATCGAAATGAAAGAGAATTCGGGAGAAAGGGGATTTGTTGACGCAGCCAATTTCTTCCTTTACTTCCTTGTACCACTGTACATTTTTAACTATTTTGGCACACTGAGTCATTCAGAAACTGAGCTGGTTAACGCTCCGGCTTTTTTTACTTTTGTTGTAATTTGGTGGATTTTCATTACCTTCTGGACGGGTTGGAAACTATTCCCAGATTTTAGTTGTTCAAGAAGTTACATAAAAGAAAATCTCTGTAAGTGTATTTGTTTTTTTGTTAGTTTTGTTTTACCATTCATTGTATGTTGGGTTTCTTCAAGCAATATTCCTCAAGCTTTCTTGATTGTCTGTATTCTAGAAGGCGCTATTGCTATTATCGGCAATGCTTTGTGCAACTGGAAGAAAATCAAATGGGCAAAATGCGAAGAAAGTGCGTGCAACGTTTGTATTCAAGTTGCTTATATCGTGCTTATGGTTATTTTGTGGTGTGTGGCTGGTTGGATTTTTGCTAAAAAAGCAACAACAGATAAAACGCTTTCTCCTGAAAAATCAAGAGATTATAACCAAGAGTGCATAATTTTGAATTTTTTTGACGCCCATGACCTCTGGCACATTTTATCATCCCATGCTCTTCTTATGTCAGCGTATGTTGTCATGTTTATGAGTCACAAGGAGGATTAAACTGTCATGACTCAAAATCAGGAAATAGAATCCAAACTGAGAACAAAACTTGGAAAACTGCAGATGAGAAGGGGACCGAACAAAGAAAATATATTCTCTCGACCAACTGTTATAGTAACAAAATATTTGAAAATTGGATTTTGACACTGCCGGGTAAAGGTCCCTTTGAATTTGGAAAAGCTCACTTAGGACAACCAGACTCTATCTGTCTATCATGTGTCCCTGGTTGTTGTCCCTATAACAACATATAGGTTCAATGTAGGTCTGTGAATATATGGCGCCATTAAGTTCAGAACTTAGAAGAAGGAGCATAGTAATCACAGGACTCTTTTAAACATACTTTATAACGTACCAATAAGTTATGTTAGGAAGTTTTGGAAACCACTTGGAAATTTGAATATTTTTTCATTTAGTTGACCTCTCTTTTAGCAATTTGCTATTCAGACAATCACTTCAGGACAATAAGTATTTTTGTTTATCTACAGGGGGAGTTGTAGTAATATATGCTCTGTTAGGTAAAATGTGTGAGGTGATTTGTGAGGAGGAAATACCTCGAAGTAACCGCATAGTTTCACTTTGTGCTTTGTTCACAATATTTCATCCTGGGGAATTTTTATGCTTATTTAGTTCATGACATGATTATTCAGTTCGTGTCATAGGAGTTAGTTTAATCTACAGCACAGTAACCCTTTAACTCCCGTGGCTGACCAAGACATAATTTCTCCTTACAATATCAATACAATATCAAGCAGACAAGTGATGAGAATAAAGAAAAATATTAATTAGGGGATTATTGGTGGATCCAATACCAAATGCTCCGAACTAACATTGCAAGAATTATATGGCAGACAGTAAGGAGAATTACTAATGAGATCTTGGGAGTTAAAGGTTAATTAAACAAGCGTATTGTTAAACGATAAAAATAGAAATATATCTAAACTAAAAACATTGTAAGGGTTTGCTATATTGGTGTTGGAAAATGAATGGAAATAATATATTAGCATAAGCCATTCAGTAAACATTGTAATAAGCCGGTTGGTCATTTCTTTATTCCTTTTGGCGGTTTCATCTTACAGGTAGATTTTGATTACCTTTTCCTTATTATGATCGTGAATTTGACATGGAGACAGATGTTTTTGCCTAAACTGCGGTTTGTGGCTAGATATCGATATATTTCCATTGTGTTGTAAAAAGATGATTAATTACTAGGAAAATGACTCGACACCTCTTTTTCTTAGAGGTGCCTTAAGGTGTAAACACGTAGTTCTTTTCATCTCCCGCACTGAATTTGTAATTAGATAACTTCTACGGCTAGCACGTAGCTCTTTTAGGGGCGGTTCCCTGGGTACGCCCTTTCTTCTCCGAATTTTCTGTTTATTCTGCCGTTATGTGAAAGTCTTCAAGGGCTATTTTCTCTTAAGATATCTTTTCAAGTATGATTTTAATTCTGTTAGTAAGTTTATTATAATTTTTATATTGTCAATCTTGTTTTTGTCTCGCACGACCTTGACCGTAAGACTAAGAAATTTAAGGTAGAAAGTCGTTTTGTGAAGGGGAAACATCGCGAAGGTATCTACTTAGTATGCGAACTCCGCTCTGCGTAGTTTAGCGTGATTCGCTAGTTAAGTGTAAAAGCATGACGAAGGTTAGAGATTGACAGCTCAGTAAGTGTCACCTGCATAAGCGGTGACCCACACTTTCCTAGTGAGATCAGAGCTAGTCCCTGTTGTAATGCCTTGAGTAGTAAGAGTGAATAAAGAAAGAGACCACCAAACAACGAGTGTCAGAGTTTTACTTCTAACAGTATCATCGTAGTAAGGGTGTTGTTGAGGTGAAGGGAGGGGGGGGGCCGCATGTGACCCTTTCTCGGTCGTCATGGGAAAGTGATAATTTCTGATAACCAAAAGACTTGGGATAACGTTAGTGTAGGTCCTTCCCGAAAAACTTTAAGTAAAAAGAAACTGCATTAATTAAGGTTTATAGTTCACACTTAAAAAAAGTGCTGTCATCAAGCCAGGCCTCACTGTGAGATAATAGCTAAGCTTTTATTTTACATTAATCTTTATTTAAATGAATCGCACGTTTAATAACTGAAGAATTATTAGAAAATTGTCTTTTTACCAATAGACAACGCTTTGTAGTCTTTTAATTTTTTGTTTGAAGTGTCAAAGATCTGGTCTTAAATCATCGGAAAGGTTACACGACCAAAAATAGGTGATCATCTGTGCAGGATGTTATTTATGTACAGACCGTGTGGCATATTGTAGTCCTTCCCATGCTAATAAATTTGTCTTTTCAATTTTTTTCCAAATTGTGTTAAGGGATTATGTAATATCAAAATCGAATTAAAGGTCTTTCGCATAGATGAATCCAGACCAGAAAAAGATTAGCATATAACACATCAAAGCCCATCGGAGGAAAAAGAATCCCGAAACTTTTCCCAACACTGAAACATTCCACAATAACATTGAGGAGAAAGTAGTGGCCGTATTCGTATTAATCGGTGTTAATTGCAAATCAGCTTCGTTACATGAGCCACTATTTCAGCCGAAATCTCCTTATGTCAGGCTCATCCGGCTGAAAGTTTTTACGGTTTCCAAATCAGTCATCAGAAACGAAGCGTTTTCAGAACAGATCACCTTTGAAAGGGTCAAAGTAAGAAGTCTATCTCAAGTCACTGGTGTATATTTGAGCGAGAGCGCGATCAGAGAGTTCACCTGGATTAACAAAGAGCTTGGTTCTATTTTTTTCGATTTCTCTCGGGTCTGTTAGAGTTGGACATCGAACCAAACCATTTAAGAAAGGACTTTATTCTTATTCTTACTGAAAGGTGAAGAAGATATCTCAGTGCAGTGAAAGAAACCTGAACTTGAATCAGTAGCACTGTCTAATTGTAACATGTCTCTAAACATTACATAAACGCGGTCATGCTCAGTTGTTACCTAACTGCCACATTGGAAAAAACATATCTCGACTAAGACGTAACTTCTACTCTATACTCAGCTTATATGTTGAATAATATATACATAACTGATACTTCTCCAACAAGGTAAAGTAATGGTTCAGGATTATATGGTTCGAATTGAAAAGACCCTTTAACTATTTTAAATTGAATCTAATTTGTATAATTCTTTTGGTCCTTTTGCTCCCGTCAGTAACCAAAATGAAATGACTCTTTACAATATCACCACATTTTCGAGCGGAATGGTGATCGGAAGAAACATATCAACTTATTAGGGATATTGTTTGATTTTACTTACGAACCTTAGAGGCTAAAATTATAAAAAATTGTATATTAGACCGTGCGGAGAATTGCTGTTTAGATCGTGACTGCGTAAAAACTTAACATTAGAATTGATACAATGATATCATATCTCGGAATCATTTACTTACGGTCTCATGGACTATTATTTTTTGGGGGTGTATTTGAGAGTCCGTTATCAACTATGAGAGACGGAGAGTCCAAATTGCTCTTCCTTTTGGCATAATTGTTTTCCCTCTTATGATGTAATTTAACCTCTTACTTACTATACGCACTGTGATTCATAGTGAGCTAAGAATTCCATACAATATTACTGAGAGTCTGAAATTGTTTTCATACAGAAGTTTGTTATGATTTGGGTCTCAGCAGATGCCCCAATCAAACAGACGTATTTTTTCAAATTTAGAATTATATTTGTTTGGAAACAACATCTGACTAAATGAACTTTGCTAGAATTCTATGTAAACAAAGCTTATTTGGGTGGAATTTGTTAAGTCGTTCAAATTTTTGTTTTTCTTTTGCTCCTTTTTTCTTTTTCTTTTCTTTTAAGCTATCAGATGGTAATCTAAATTATTAATTCATTAAGTCAGATAATGTTTTTCCTCTTGAAATCGTCCATTGAAAGTCACGTTACATTTTTCGCTCTGGAGGAGAGGTTGCTTGGCCAAACAAGCACAGAGTATCAGGCCTTCTTGCGAAAACGTGTTTCGTGACATTCAACGGGGTTGCGTGACTCACGAAGCAACAACAGCTAAGAAGTAGACACGACTGTTCTCTGATTTGTCCACGGATGCTCCATGATCATCAGGTGATCAATTAGGCCATCATACGTCTGTTGCTTCAGCTGCCAGACATCTTTCTCGGCTGCCATTGACTTGGTACACCCCTGTCCACTCGGGGTTTTTCTTGTTTTTCCAAAGCCAACAAATTGCGAAGATGCAAAATGCAACAAGAAGTGTTCCTACCACGATTATCCCCGCTATGAGCGTCCATTTTTTGCTGCTGTTTTCCTTTACGATGGCTCTTTCCTTCACTTCAACATTAACTTCGCTGTTGCCATTAGGAAAAGTCCTGGGACGAGGGGTGGTTATGCTACCGGCAGCTGAGCCTGGCTCAGCTGAGCCCTGTCCAGACTCATTTGCATTTTCACAGGCGTCTTCATCATCCCCCGGGCAAGGCGTTAGAGAACTGTCCGACTCGCCTATACTTTCCACGCCTGTTTCCTTGCTTTTAATCGACTTATTTTCGCTTGTATTGGCTCCTGTGCCAGAGATGATATGTTTACCTTTAGCGGTGGACTCATTCTCTGATCCGGGACTGACATAATTATCTCCGGAATAGCCGCTCCCTCCCGAACCAGAATCTTCAGGGTTACAATCGTCTTCATCATCTGCGCAGGGTAATTCTGAATATTTGGAGTTGATTTTTGAGGTTGAGAGACGTTGATTTTTGTCAGTCACAATCATTTTTCGTGGGGTCGTATATGAGGTTGGACGTTGCACTTTATTTGCTATTGATGTAGATTTTGTTGTATCCATCGTAACGAGTAGTGTTATTGCCGTAGTTGTTGGAATCAGTCGCTTTGGGATTTCACAAGTCAATCTAAGACTTCCTTGGCTGATAAAATTGTCTTTCGTGTCGAGAAAACCTTGGATGATATCCACACCATTGAAACTGATTTCCTGAAGGCACCCCTCAAAAGGAAAGCTTGACGGACGACGATGCGTAGCAAAGCCATTGATAACCATTCCTCCCACATACACATCTCCTTCGCCTTCTTCCAAATCAAATGATTGGTAGTTTCCTGGGAAACTCTGAGAAACGTGAAAAACGCCGTCTATTGTCACGTTAATTCGGCCCCGATTTCTTCGTATATCAACCGAGTGCCAGTTATTGTCACTGCACGGTTTGTCACGCGCATGCAGGTACATTTCACCCGATCCAAGGTTCCATCGTATCAGAATGTAACCATTGCTCAGCGCGATCACTAAATAGTCTCTCGCCCCGCGTCCGCTTTCCAAGAGTGATCCATTCTGATTGGCTGTCTTGAATCTCAGCGTGATTCGATCGTGCTTTGAAGAGACGGATTTATTGGAACGCTTGAAAATTAAGTGATCTAATTGGCTGAGACCAATGACCGGAAGTGCTGAAAATATGATGGAAACATCTTAGTGACTTGATATTATATATCAGTACAATAGTTAATCATTGTTTTCCTTTGAGTTACGAAATATGATTCGTCGTCTGCTTTAGAGAAATGTAGAAGATTAACTCTTGTTTGACCGATTCTCTTGTGTTTATGTGAGTGGGCTTCACATCGGCATCTGAATATTTCATATCATGCGATGACAGGAAGGGCACATTAGAGGAAGGAAAAAAGGTCATTTTCTTCCAAAATAGAAATAACAAAATCATACTGATCCTACACATCTTTCACCCTCTTCTCTTTTAAAATTTAGCTACTAAACAAGGACTACGAGACTTGTTATCACGGTTCTGACTTTTACGTCGATAAGAGGAAGGCTCGAGTCTGGAAGTTTTCAGCGGTATCTCACAGAAGTGTTTTACTGATACTTGAGTATTTTTCTTATTATTTTATTTATCTTGTTAACCAGTTTGTTTATAAAACTTTTTTCCGGCTTCTGTGATATTGATAAGGATCAGAAAAACAGCCTATGACTTGATAAATGGTTGAAAGCCTCACACTACTTTTTCTTGTGTACGCAACGAACACGAGCTTAGATACTCTGAACAGTGTTAGGTGTGACGCATTACTTCCAAAATCAACACGCACTTTGTCGCCTTTATCGTTTCTCAAAATACACACCTAAGCGCATTGAACGCGTTGTTAAGAGTTTTGACAACTGAACGCGCGGAGTGCGAGCGACGCGCGCGACAGAGAGAGTGAGAAGGTTGTGGTTTTGCTCTCCCGCCCGCCTTCCGCGCGCGTGACTGACCTGCTAGTCCTCGATCGCCTGAAATATTCGTAAATAAAATCATAATTAAAGAAAAAAACGCTTGTTATGCAGGATTGAAAACACAGATGGTTAAGCAATCTTCTTTAGTCTAGACATTTAATCGTGTGACCTAACCTAAAAAATAATTTTAATTACAGCCAAATAAAATTTCCATCATATCAGCGGCTTCCGATGACCTCATTTCTTCAAATCTAATCAGGTAATTGCCGTGAAAGACAGAGTATGGTGAATTGAAAATAATGATTGACAAAGAATACACAATTTGTTGCTGTTGTAATAGAACATTTAGGAGATATGATACTTGGATTAGTATGTGACCCTATTATCAATCACCCGGTTAAGCTTTCCTGACACATATTCCATCCCCGCTGACTCTGTCACGGTAAAAATTCCGCATTTCACATGAGTATTGTTTACAAATAAACGTATGATGTTTGCACTATACATCTCTTACTTTCAGTTTATGGCGAGAAGGATTTTAAAACGAAAAAATTTATGATTTAATGATGTTTTTTGGCAATGGAGTTTATTTTCTCAGAGATAACCTCATTCAAGAAATGTCAACATGTTTTCGCATGCATCTCCCAGTAGGACATGACACATTCGAGAAGAAGAAAGTAAAAATATACCCTTCAAGACGAAGCAAATCACTGATATCATTAAGGAATCAGTACAACAACGGGAAGGGAAGGGAAGCTAAATTTTCAAGGCTTTTCTCTAAAACATTCCCTTTTCCGACAAAAAAAGCTTGCTTACCTCGTTCACAAGTGTCCCCTCTGAAGCCAGTCGTGGTGCAGTCGCAGGCAGTTGTAATGAATCTGTTCAGACATGTCCCATTATTGAGGCATGTGTTATTTCTTTCACACATATCAGTACAGCCTGGGATTACTTCATCTGAATATTCCACGCTGGTTTTAGTTATCTTGTTTCCTTGTTCAGACGAAGATTCTAGAAACTCTGTATCCATTATGCATCCGATGAATCTGTTCAGAAGAAGAACTGAAGGCTGTGTGACTCTATTTGCTCCGAGGTTGGGTGGAAAACCACCAAAATACATCGGGCTTTTCACGATTAGTCCTTTCTTCTCTCGGCTCTCGACGGCCAATTTCGGCAGATTGTCTAAGTATATTGTTGTGTTGTCCCTATTCCTTTCCACTAACACTCTATGCCAGGCTAAATCGTTTAAATTTTCGCCGCGGGTTTCGTCTGCCATCGGCCCGAATCGAGATCCGTAGCTGCATGTAAGTCGTAGCTTTCCTCGAATCAGTTCAAGTCGTAAGAAATTCGTATTTCCTTCATCATCCATGTACAGCAGAAGCGCATCTGGGAGAAACGTTTTGAAGCGAAATCGAAGACACCGCGCGTCGGACATATTCCACCTTTTCAGTTGAAGAAATGAAGTCCGGGCGCTTGTAAATGTCTCAGAAGAGGTTTGATGTAAAACAAAGGACACCAAAAGATAGAGTAGGAATCGAAAGCGTACAAATACACCCATCACTCATGTGTTAGTACGGTTTTAGACGAGACAAGCTGTGTTCAATTATGTTAAGACGTTCGAAGAAACTATATCTTCGGCTAAACATTGTCAGATCATTGTGAAAGAGATATGCTATTTCGATCAAATTCTCACCGGAAGCATCTTCAACCGCGCCCTGTACTGTTTTGTAAGAGAATCACGACATTTATTTTGTGATCGATAGCAGCCTTTTGTCAATAAGATAAGCACTTTATCGTTTTACTCAGATAGCGTCAAAAAGTGCTAAGGTTTGTTACTGCAAAACATGTTGCGGCATCAAGAGTCAAACTCTGTTACTTTTGTTTTGAGCCTGGATCGAATCTCTCACCATGAGCCGTGAACGCAAAGCAAACATATTTTTAGAACAAATCATCATGGTGCGAGTAAGGAGACTCGGGTCATACAATAACAATCTCTGCGTTGGTCTTGATCAGCACAATAAGTCGAAGTAGTTGGCTCGAATTCAACAACAATTTTCGTGATAACTTACTACGGAAATATTTTGTTAATCCAGTGCTATCGGTTATATGCGAAATTTTCGCTTTTAGGGTCTGGGATCAACTCTTCCAGACTTCTAAGAGATTTATTTGTAGTGCAAGCACCTAAAAAGCCCTCGAGACTTTTCCTATTTTTCCTGTTTCTCAAGAATAAAGGTTAAGGTTCTCGTAAACGAGCCTTGCGCCGATAGCAAAGCTTTGTCAGGATTCATCACCAGAAACATTTTGTGTCCGTCGAGCATGCTTTCAGGGTTATGAAATAATGGCTGGGATTTTACCATACCAAAAGAAGTCAAGCAAGTGAATGATGATGTAATGGGTATTGAGAGGTGATGGGGGAGGGGGGGAGGGGAGGATGTTTGACTAATATACACGATTTTCTTTTCAAATAAAGTACCTCGAAACTGTCTCATGATACATCGAACAGAAAAAATAATCATGAAAAAAGACTCTTTGATTTTAGGATAATCTATACCTGTATTTGGATACGAAAATATTGTATACTTCAAAGTAAGAGACGCTGGATACTCGGATACTTCAGCAATTGGTCGGGTCTGAAAGTTAGAAGTTATGTAAGATTTGCCTGGAATTAAAAAAATAACCTTCCACCAACTGATGATTTCAGTCTACCTCTTGGATAGCTCGCTTGATCCCTCATTAGTATTTATTTATTTATTTATTAGCGATATTTATGCAGGCTGGCCCAGTTCGGCTTCAAGCTGGTTTGAATGGGTGCTTTCAATTTAAACTTGTAAAATGATAGTATACTGACGCGTTTCTTCCTTGGTTTTTCAAGAAATAGATATCGGACAGGAAGTATCGTGGATTAGTATCAGTAGTTGAGCCCGATCGTATTAGGAAGAGTGAAGCAGAATGATGGTCTTTTCCTATTATGTTAGACTATCAATTTTAATTGATAGTCTAACAAAGTGTGCCTGTAAACCATTCCTTAGACTTTCGGTAGCAAGTGTTTAGAGGAAATAAACAAAACAGAAGTTGCTATTTATAAACCAGTAAACAAGGACACATCTGTTTTTCTCTGAAGGCAGGCCTTTGTCTTGATACCATGGTATTGAACTAGAGTCACGTGGCTTTCACTTTCGGTCTCATTTTTTCCGCATCAGTAGCCTGGCTCAGCTCAGTTACTCAGTGGAGACCGATCCATAATGGTGCGTTCTTGTATCCTCATGTCCTTTCTTTGGACTATATCGACTGCAGGGCTTGTTAATGAATGTAATTTTGATGGCGAGGTGACAAAAGCAGCGGCTCTTCAAAATCTATCCTTTATCAGCAGTTCTAGTTCAGTAATGTTTTTCCGTACACTTCCGTCAACGAGAACGTCGTCTCACTCATGTATTGTAACAACGGAGGACAAAGATAGTTTCTTATATGTAAAAGCAAAGACCTCTGGAGAGAAAAATGGTAAGATAGAGAGACTGTTTATTGCTGATAAACATGTATACATATATATGGATAGGTCATATTTTCTGTTTCAAATCGTGACTACGTATGGTCATATGACAAGCGAATTTTGCTGTGCTGGCAGATGAAGTTGTTGTCAGACCCATTTTGTTGCAACGTATGCTTTTTTGTTCTGAGTTAAGATTGGATATACTTTTTAGAGCTCTCAGACGATCAACGGTCACTTTCTGAGGGTTGTTTTAATTTGAACACAATAAGAGAGTGCAAATTTGAAATCATGCTACGACAAACAGAACTGCAAGTGGCAACGTGGGAATGTGAAATAAATGAATTACGCATTACTCAGCCGAATCTTATCACCATAGCTGCATAGTGTCTTATGTACAGTGCAATTATGACCGATTAACATTCTAAACTGGTACCATGATCAGGATCAGAACTTACAGCCGAAGACTTTCGCTTTCCTCACGTGTTTGCGTGACATAAATTGATCGCATGTCATACACGTCACTTTCTTATATACCGTGGAACTGTTTGTTGCTATAGCTAATGCATTTACTACCAAGATAAGATTAACCCTTTCTTGTCACCCTTTTTTGTATATTTCTTCGTATGTGTCGTATCATATTTCTTCCGGCTTTTGTCTGAATATCGAAGCTTTAGTGTGTGAGTCAGCGATAAAGATGAGAACTATTCAATTGCTCCTCGAAACTGTTCTTTCTTTGAGGATCCGTTTCTGCCAAGGAAAATGTTATAATTATACAGGAACTATTGTTTATTTTAACCCTCTGGTACGCAGGCTCCCATCTGGGGTTTATGATACAAAAAGAAAGTAGATGTGGGCTAGTAAGCGAGTGAGGAATGCGTGACTCTCGAGCTAGTCCACGATTCAGTCACCATAACTTTGGAACAAAAGAGCATCAGGGATGTAGCTAAAGTTTTTAACAGGCGGGAATCTTGCAATGATAGGCGGGTATTTGGGCCGAAGGCCCGCTCTAGCGTGCCTTTGGCATGCTATACCTAGATTTGAAGGTGTAAACAAATGAAATAAATAAATAACACTCTTCTGACAACATTTAAAAACATTTTGGAAAAAGAAGTAGTGCTTCACAGCCGGAAAAATCGCGTTCACAGCCGGAAAAATCGCGTTCACAGCCGGGTAATTTTCCCGGCTTCCGGCTATTATCTACATCCCTGAGCATAATATTTGCTATTTCAAGAAAAGTGTATTTTAATCATTTTTTTAAAGAACATTACTAGAGGCATGATATGCTAGGTCTTTAAGACTGATCATTTTTGAGTTGGGTCCACGGCTTACTCTATTTTCAATTTTGCAATATATTGGGGGGAGGGTTACTTCAATATTACGTGATTCGTTGTCTAGAGGACCTGAAACACAGGAAATTTATTAATCATGATATTAATATCATACATTTTGATCCATTAAGTTACCGTTTCTAGTACCAGTCTGGAATGAAGTGCTGTAATTAGCTGTGTTTTATCTGAGCAAGCATGTTACTGAAGATCCAAAAGATGTCATGCTTTATTGACAATAGATTTGGACTTGTTTTGTTTCCTTTTTAAAAGCATTCACCATACTGTTCTCTCTTCTTCTTCAATACAAACCATCAAATGTGGTGACCCTCAAGTAGGCCTGTTATTGTTTTTTGTGTATGTAAATGACCTCCCTAATACCTCTGAATTAACCCTTTACACCCTAACATCAGTATGCACATTCTCCATACTGTTCTTTGTACAATTCCAAAGGCGCTGACAAGGGGAATTTGTTTAACAATCAAGAGCTTTTTCAGTTGGTGATCATTTCCTTGATTCATGTGACCTTAACTTTTTACTCAGAGGTAATATTATAAGGAGAAATTAGAAGCTGGTCACTCTCAGGTGTTAAAGGGTCAGCAGACCCTATGCTTTTTGCTGACGACACCAGACTAGTTTCTTTTATTCTCACTTAAACCCAAATTGCTTAGAATCTGTACTTAATGATGAACTTCAGAATATTGATGTTTGGCTAAAATATTATAAGCTTTCAGTTAATATAAAGAAAACAAACTATGTCATTTATAAACCCAAAGAGAAGAAATTCAGCTCCAACATTTCTCTCTCCTTTAGAGGTAAACCCCTTGAAAAGTCCAATATAACTAAATTCCTTATATCAGCTATGTATACAAACGAATTTCCAAATCAATAAGTATTATATTTAGGTCTCACTTTTTCCTATCTTCTACAACCAAACTCACTTTGTTCTACACTTTAATTTATCCTTATATCATATAATCATGACACCTAGTCATCCACAGACATATCTACCTTTTTTTTTAGAACTTCTTTGTTGCAAAGCAAGCTGTGCAGGCAATCATCAACTCAGATTGTCAAGTCCATTCTGCTCCTTTATTCTCCAAACTAAGAATTTTAGATATTTTCCAAATCAATATGTTTGAATGCGCCAAATTCATTTTCTATTACAAAAATAACCCGTTTCCCCCATCGCTACTCAACCTTTTGTAACAAGTAGCCAAATTCACTGCTATGGTACAAGAACAGTAATTATCAAATGCAGTTGTGTAGTATAAATCTCAAGCAATTTACAGTTCTCAACCAAGGTCCTAAAATTTGGAACTTTCTTCCTGTTTCATTCACTAGTTTGTCAAATCTTGTTAGCTTTAAGACAAAAATGCAAGAGTTTTTACTTAGTATAAATAAACACAGTATTGGCAAAGCTGCACATTCACAGCACTTTTAATTTTTTAAATATTGTTGTAAGTTAGGTGGCTCTACCTCATAAGCCGGGTAACTTCTCAAGTCTCCTCACCTTCTATCAATTATAATGCTGTTAAAAAAATTCTGTTTTGTAAAAAAGGAAAAAAAAGTGATGATGATGATGATATGTTGTATATCGTAATCAAAATACTCTATACTTCCTGAAAAGAACTCTCTTAGTAACATGCCACAAACTTGGAATCTGCATTATTTTTTGCTAACCCTAACCTTAAGTTTCTTGTACATCATTTGTGGTTATTTCTTTATATAGATTATTTACTCATTTTTGTATATCACTCTTGTACTTGTATACCAGTGAATCAGGTTATGACTAAGTTAAAACTTTGTCTCTACTTCACAATTCCCCATACATTTCTTAAGGTACTGACAAGGAGAATTTGTTTAACAATCAAGAGCTTCTTTAGTTGGCGATCATTTCCTTTATTCTTGTCACCTTGAGGTTTGATTCATGGGTGATCTTGTAAGGAGAAGTTAGGTGTTGGTAACTCTAAGGGAGTCAGAGGATTAATCTGCCCTATGGTCTCAACCCTTTCAGTGTAAACATTTATTTACCAAATATTCAGAACTATGAGGAGGCTCCCCAGGCAACCATTCAAAGAAAGTTAGCAGAAATTTGGAAGAGAGGGGAAATAAGACTTCTGCAAAGCTACATACCACATTAAGTGTCATACTTATAGAAATTTCCTCTGATAAGTGTTAATAACAGGAAAGATTAATTCCATACAAGTGTCTCTGGCCTGGGTGACATGATTTTAGCAAAGTAAGCTTCATTTAAATGATGTTGGCTGTTTGAGGTCTCGGTTCTAGAAAAGAGCGAGCTGGGGTAGGGTAGGGGAGTGGTAGTTCTTCATGTGTTATTTAAAGACTCCATGAGAGTTTACGGAATAGTCCATTTTACAGTTGCGTGCCTGCTTACCAAGCCTTTTAAGAAGAGTGAAGCCAAGGGTGACCTTGTTATGATACAAACCTTGCTGCTTTTTAAATGTAAATTGCTTTGTTATTATGCTAACTAGGAGCTAGTCTCTATCACAACAAGGTCACCTTCAGCCTCATTCCAAACCAGGACTTGGCAACTAAGTACATAACTGTAAAATGGCCTATTGTGGACGCCAAAGAAAAAGAAAATGTGCTCTCGTTTCCAAGGCCTCTCCGAGGCCATATCCGTCAGCTCCATTTACTCAGTAGGCTTCTGAAATATTTCATGGCCCTCTCAATTCTGAAACAGTCATGCTTAGTTGAGGGGCTCAAAACGGCTCAGCTCGCCTTTGTTTCTCAAAAGACAGCCGTGTCTGTATCCGGCCATTGTAAGGCGTTGGACCTAATCTTCACGGAAGGCTTTACTCTCTTGATAAATTATTTTCTTTTTCTGGATTTCCATTAAATTTTCCCTTTTCAATCGTTGTCAATCGTGTACAAATATCCCGCGTCCGGTTCTTGCGTGATTACTTTTTCATTTTTATCATTTAGGCAATAACTTTATCATCTTTTCAACTTGACAGGAACTCTTCACATGACAGTGTACGGTGAGGACGAATTGTCCTCCTCTGGTCATCTTGACACTGCTGCGTCGCATGTTTGGAGCACGTCAATTTCATGTCCAAAGCCTCCCGGCCAGAAGTATTCAGTGTTACTAACAGGAACTCCAAGCCTAAGTTACGCAGTGGAAATCTCTGAAAACGTCTCGTCTATAGATATCGGTCAACCAAAGAGTTTTACGATTTCAAGCACTCAACCAGCAGCATTTCAGTTCAAACCAAGCACGGGTATCTCAAAAAAACAACTTGACATAACTGTGGAATCCAGTATAAATATTACAGCTTACTTAAAAGTTTCACATACGTGCGAGGATGTGGTGAAGAATATAAATGCACTGAATCCCAGATCATTGAGGCTGTCGTTCGCAGAAAAGGGCCGGATCACCCTCTCCAAAGCATCATTACCGCCTCTAGAAGATACCGGTCGCCCTTGGTTCATAGGGATTGCGATAAAGAGCAAGTCCGAAACAAGAAAAAAAAACGTGATACTAACTCTAGCGAGCTCGTTTGATTATGATTACGCAACTCCGTTCTATTTCCTAATCTTTTTGTCGTTTTTTGGTGGTATTGCAGTGGCGCTATGGGCGTTGTTTTGCTTCAGGGAGCCATATAAACTGGCCGTGGAAGATGAACATATTGACGATTCAGCGGTAAGCTTTTCGTCGCCCATGGCAGCTAGTCACCGAATGAAAGACAATCTTAGGAGCTTGTTTTCATCTTGCTGGAAAAAGAAAGAGGACGAAGAAGCTGATGAGCTACGACCATTGATACGTGGCAAAAAGGAAAAAAACCCTTTAACTTGGAAGGAATTGTTTAAAGCAATGAAAATAGTGCTGTTTACCCACTGGTTCGCGCAAGGACCCAAAACATTTTCTTACACCACCTGTATTGTCGGTTTTGTCCTTTTGGTTGGTTCATACCAGTATGTCTTCGAAGACTGGCACGAGATGATACATACGGGCGACAGGGACAGGTGTTATTACAATGACTTTTGTTATAGAGTTAGTGGATATGACATTCCCTTCAACCTGATGATAAGTAACCTGGTTTACATGATTCACGGCTTGATCCTGGCCTGGTCGGTGTGGGTGATGGAAGCCGAGTTATTCGCTTGGTGCCATAAGCAGGCGCGTAGGAACCACCTGTCAACTACACGACTTCCGCCAGGCCAAGTCGAGTTACCGAAACACATTTTGAAATGCCCGAACATCAACGGTCACCTGGCAAAAATGACTGTTCCTTATTTTCGCACCAACAATCTAGAAGAAGAGATAATGTTGCACGCTGAAGCTCATAAAAGAAAGTTCACTTTTTCGATAGGGTACGCTTTAGCCTGGGGGCTGATTTTTGAGGGGTGTTTTTCCATGCTTTATCACTTTTGTCCCACCAAGTTGACTTTCCAGTTCGATACAGCTTTCATGTTTGTTATTTCAGGTTTGATTGTGTTATCATTGTATAACGGAATCAGCTTCAAGCAGTGCGTTGTCGGAAAAAGGTGCAAAAAGCCTGTACAAGCCAGCAATTTTTTCCTGTTCTTTTTAGTTCCACTGTTAATTTTCAATTACTTTGGCTCCCTTCTCTATAAAAATCGTGGTGAAATGGGTTTGGCAATGAAATTAATATTTGTAGTCTGTTTGGTTTTATATTACATCAGTATTCTTTCTTGGGTGGGTATAAAATTGTTTTACAACATTTTGAGCAAAAGTGACCTCAAAAAGTGGGATGAGGTTTTAAAGGCTGTGTTTTTCTTTGTGATCCTAGTGGTTATAAGTATTGTTTTCCCAGTGCATTTTGGAATTCAGTTTGATTTCCCAGACATGTTCTTGTTTAGCTGTATATCAGCTTGTCTCCTTGCTATCACGGGTAAAGTGCTGATTCAGTTCTTTCGGACCACCCGTCGATGTTGCACATTTCAAACATTCATTTTCCGCTTTTTTCAAGTCTCCTATATTCTAGTCACGCTAGGGTGTATGGGTACTGCGGTTTGGATTTTTACTGCCAAGGCGACAACAGACAAGACAAAGACTGCATGGGAATCACGTGATCTGAACAAGAGGTGCGCAGTCGTGAATTTCTTTGACTATCATGATTTATGGCATATCTTGTCCTCATTTTCCCTCCTGATGGGATCTTATTTAATGTTGTATATTAGTGAATAAGTCATTCAAAGACAAAAGCTAATTAACTGCCATGAACTGCGAGGAGTTAACTGCGCAAAGATTAATTTAGCTTTGTGTGAATGCTATATGGCTTGTTAGTATTAGAATATATTAATTGAAGTAATTCTTATATATTAAAATTTCTCTTTTGGAAGTAGTTTGTTGGATAGGAGGCGAGTTTATTAGAAAAATCGCCCATATTTTATTAGAGAAACAATTTTAGCTCAGCTACTTTGTACTTCATGAGAGGTGACATTTTGTTTAAAGTTACTTAAGTTTTCAAGAGTAGTTTTAATTATATTGTAAACATTTCAAATTAAATCGAAAGATATGTAAAGTATGTTATGGATATTTATCAAACAAATGATGACCTTGACGATAAAAGTGTAAAACATTTTTGTTGTTATCCGCAACGTAAAATAGGCTTATTAAATATTAAATCCGTAATGTGATTATGTTTAATGATGATTTATATTCTTTTGTAGAGAGAAATAAAAAGAACTCCTTCAATTTTTTGCAGACCTAGATTCTAGTATCATTCGTTGTTCTGCTCCGTAGTTCGTTCCCTTAATATTTTTTCTTTGTAAATGGTGGCTTAGTTACTGTTTTTTTTTGTTGTTTTTTCATTGACGTAAGTCAGAGCTGTTGAAAAACAACTAATCACAGCAGAGCATCATGCTTTATAAGATCACGCATGACCAGTCGACCTCATCGCCTGAAGAAGACTGGCAGTATCAAGTCAAAACGTCGCGATCTACATCACACGTGACTACATCGTGAGACAAACGAAAAACTTAGCTTTTATTATCGACGATTTGTTGTGATAATAAAGCTTCAATCCAGTTTAGTCACTTTTTGTCTTTTCATTGCCTGTCCGTCAAACTGTGTAATGCATTTGTGGCCAAAAATTACTCAATGGTCACTGCTTGTGGTCAAAGGTTTAAAATCATCTCTTTTGTATCATTCACAGGTCCGAAGAGCGAAGCTTACTGTTGGCGAGGAATGTTGGTTAATTCATAGCTAGTGGTTTCATGCTACGTACGAAGCAGAACCTAGCACTCATATGCTTTTCTCATTTTCATAATGTTCGCAAGCAAACTAAGCATCAACGGCAAAACAGCTTGTTTGAAGACTTGGTTTTCTTGCGGGAGGACGCGCTCTTTTCATCATTTCCTGGAAAGCTTCCGATCTTTCTTATTCTCCTATCCAGAACCTTTCATTTGGGAAGAAGTCTGCGATAAATTCTCGCGGTCAATGGTCCGCGCATCGTGGTTGCCAAAGCAACCGACAGCCCTAGACTAGTTTACCTGCGGAACAACGCACCCCTTTATGTTTCCTGACAAGCTGCCAATCTTTCTCAGTCTCGTTTCTTGGATTTTCCCGTTGCTTTTGCAATCGCTTTGAGTAAATGAGAGTCTGAGGCAGTCTACGGGCGAACGTTTAATCAATATCCTCCTATCCAGCAATCTGCGCACTTGGGCAGTTTCCCGCGCTTTCCTAAACCAGTGCAAAGGCGCCTGAAAACGAGGCAGAAGTTACCTACACTTGCTAATCTGTTGATTAGTTAATTATTTCGTCTGTTACGTCATCACAACGCGCGAAAATTACAACCCGTTGTTATAACTTTGCGTTGGTTGGAGTTAGGCTCGTCGTGAGTCACTAGAACGAAAACTGAAGAAAGTGATGGAAGGAATCAAAGAGATGACTTCTCCCAACGTGAGTACCGTTCATTGTTAATTTTTTTGTACTTGGGGTGGTTAAAATGAGCTTCTTACCATGTTTCGTCGGACAAATTCGGAATTTGTCGTATGCCAGGCCTTTGGGCTCCTGAATGCATAAAGTTGAGTTGTCTTTAAATGAAAAGAAAAAGAAGAATTCATATGTGTTGGAAGAGGAAGCGAAGAGACAAAGTGTAGGAAATGAAGGACCAGATGTAAACGCAAGGAAATTTGACGCCAAGAATAATTAACTGAATAAGGAGAAAGGGTCAGCTAAAAGTAATGTTAGAGTAGAAATAATATATAATAATATATAATAAATAAAAATCAACATTTTGCACGGTGTTTGTAATGTTACTTTTGCGATTACTTAGCTTCTCAGTGAACAAACCCTATGCATCACGGAAATGTTTTCACCACTGTTTTTCGATTGGACTCATATCCCCAAAACTCAAGTGAAAAGTGAGACCGTCTGAAATGAACACGAAGCATGGAAAAAAAAAACGGAGCTGGGGACCGAAAAAACTCCAAAGGGTGGGTACCAAAGCAAGCGCAAGGAAATCCTATTCTTATTTGTTGAAAATTACGGCCAACTAATAAACATAAAAGTCTGCTAAATGAAGATGCACAGGTCTTAGATAACCAAAATACGTCTTTTATGCGAATAAAGCAACAACACAATCATGGCAACAACAAAAAACACCAGTCTTAGAGGTCGACGGAATAGCACCACTCTGGGTGGACTTGTTGGTAGTCCAAAATGGCGCTTGCTAAGAACAAATCTGATTAGGTTTCGATCTTTCAGCATTTTTTGTGGTTAAGAACAATGAGAATTCGGAAAGATTTTGTCGCGGCAAGTGGATCTTTTCACGCGTGAAATGAGAATAAAAATGGCGCGCTTCATCATTTCATGAGCAGAGTTGTCAAAAATCTGAGACTGTAGCAAGTGGAAAGGATACCAGGTAAGTGCAGACAAGGGATATGCACAAAACGAAATATTTTCAAGACAACATGGTACTATGGAAAACATTGCAAGATGCAATTTCTGAAGAAGAAGGTTTTTTCCTATTCGCGCAATTGTACGGTATTTTTGCGAAGCTTACAGGTTGGAGAATTAAAGACTTATTTACTAGCGGGGTTTCGTTTATACTGAATTGCTAATCTCATTCGTCATTCTTTTTGTTTGAAATAACTTTTTCAATTTTTGGGGATGTGTCGAAGACGTAAAAAAGCTGTACCACGCTTCCTTATAAACTCACGGTTTATTGGCTTTATTCAACAATTTTGCTACTACGCTTCGGTTGACTGCCACTCACAACTCTCGGCTTATTAGAATGAAACACACTCAACTTCTCGTCGTAAGCACGTGGAGCAGTACCATATATGGGACGATAAAACACGTGCTGTGTACAGCTTTGCTTAGTTATGTATAAATAAGCCAAATCCCTTATAAATGTCAATTAAATTGAGAAAAATTAACGTATCATACAGTTTCCAACAGATGATCACCACCCTTTGCTTAATGCTTGAAAGGAAGCTTCTTAAAATAAGTGTCAGGGCACGGCGTGGACCCTGGTTACGAGTCAAATCACTGTCTTTACAGGGGAGGGGCAGGGAATAAATTTAAGGCTAAAACATGGCGAACTTTTCCAACGAGTTACAATCGATCGTCTGGCAGACGTTATGGAAGGAGGGTATTGGAGAGTATTGGACAGAGTATCTCTGTCCAAAAACGTGAAGGAGAACTCTAAGTGGTTGATAGAGAAGAAAGCAATCTTCAGATGCTCGTTCATTTTCTTTCAACGTCTACTTTAGTATGGCGGCCGTTTCTTTGTCGAATTGCTTGACACTAAATTTATATGGTGAGGGTCTCATTGTCGTAGAAATGCAATAATCTACCTTTTTTAAGAAAGAGCACATTTGGATTATTTTACATTTTACAATGGCTCCCTTTAATGCTTATTTTCAACATTTCCCAATCGGGCGAAATTGTTCACATAATCTGGATGCAGCTAGGACAGTGGAGGAAAAATGATGATGATGATGATGATAATGATAATGATGACTTTGATCACATGTCAAATGACGTCTAGCAGAGGAGGAATACCACCCCCACTTTCCCCGCTAATAAAGGGGCACCTAAAATATCCCTAGCCATGTAGTATATTAGAAGTATTACTTGAAATCAATCAAAACAACCCAAACTAATGATACCTACAACTAACCTTGTCTAAAGTGCACTACAGTCTCCTTATTTTCAAACCGTGTTTATCAAATCTCTTTGAGTCTACTATGCGTGAACCTATAAGGATTTACCAGCTTTTGGTTTACCAGTCTGTATATTGTGACAGAACTCTAAAGAATTAAGATTTAGTGTGTATGTCATACACAAACTACTGGAACCTCTAAAGGAATCAAGACCAGAGTTATAGTTTCTAGTTTACTTTTCTTAAGTGACTTTTCTCCTTTTTAATATGTGAAAAAAAAAACATTTTATTTGTTTCATTTTAAACTTGATGCATTAGCTGCCTTGAAGTTAGGAGCCTAATAAGTACCAGGTTCTTGAGTTTAAATATAGAATTATGTTTGCAGTGACTGGCTTCAAATGGGGTTTCAAGGAAGTGTAGTGCATGCTGTGCTTCAGGAGCAATTTTTATCAAAAGACCCAATCATTACACTTAAATGCCTTTTTTAATTCATCATTTTAATGTTATAATAACAAAAGGGAAGTTTATTTAAACTTTTCTATCAACAATGATAATGATTTATTACTTTCAGAATGCTACTCCCAGTTCTAGGGAGTCAAAAATCAACCAACAGAAGCTTGATCTCTACGTAGAGAGCATAATAGAAGCCACTGCATCAAGCTTGCAGGATGTTGTTCTGAGGGTATCAAGCAGCACCAAGCAGTTAGACAAAATTTTTGATAATGGTTCTCAATCATCTTTAAATGTGTGTGGAATCTTGACATCATCGTATAGTGAAGTGACTCCAAGTGAGAGTCTAACTGCAGTCTGTGAGCCTGAGGAAGGAACTCTAACAGCAGGTACTGCTGTTTCATGAGTATGCTCTATTGCAATAAGTTCAGCCATGGTTGCCATTAGCCTTTTGTAACCCAGGTGTACTATTATCGCAATCTGTACTTACTTAGGATAGTTAACTTTTTGGAGTCTTTGAGCCTGAAGGAGGAACTCCAATTCCAGCTCAGAAATATAAGGCCCCAATTCCTAGGACCTCATATTTCTGAGCTGGAATTGATGCCCCCAGTCAAGAAGGTAATTACTGCTGTTTAACGAGTATGTTTTATTGCAAGTAGTTCAGCCAAGGGCTGTGGATAGCCTTTCGTATATTCCAGTTGGAATATTCTCTCAATCTGTACTTTTTTAGGATAGTTAACTTTTGTAAAATTTGCCAGTGTTTTAACCCTTTAACTTAAATATCTGAATGTTAATTCTCCCCACTAGCTGCTACACATTTCCTTGTAAATTAGTTATGAGTATTTGGTTAGATCAAGGTAAAAAGTTCTACCAGATAAGTTTGAGAATTCTCACTACCTGTTTGCTGCATAATGTGTGAATATTACAGGGAGAAGTAACATGTTAAATAGGGTTAAGCTGAAGAAAGAGTAATTTGCAATTATTATGCATTTGTAGACTCAGTATAAACCTTGCCGTGAGTGAACATTAGTTGATGTTCTATCATGGGGAGTAATCAAGGAATTTTCTGTGAATGTTTACTTATCTACCAAACATAAAAATAAAGATTCAAATTGTCAACCATTTAACCTCTTCATAGTGCCTGTTCAGGAGAGCTCTGATCCCCCTGTTGATCAACCTCCCCAGTCCCCATCATCACCTCAGCCCAGAGCAAAGCATATTGTAAGTAAAAAGGTCAATGGAACTTGCATTTGGTATAAAAGAACCTTTGATTTATTTAATGTTCTTATATTCATTCATTTATTGATTTTATTTTCACCTTCATTTGCCAAAGGATGATGTAAGAGTGTCCTTCAGCAAGTGGTGGTCATTGATTTTCCTTAGGATAACCTAAATTATCAATGACTGCAACAACAGTCATCGAGGCTAATAAGAATGAATAATGTAGACAGTTAACCTGTTTAACAATCAATTAAGACTGTGGTTAAGAAGTTCAATCAACATGGACTGATCATTGATTTATGATTGAATGATTTTGTTCTTGATTAGAAATCTCACAGGTTCAAATGGCCACGAAAGTCTTCAGCAGTAAGGGCAACAACAGAGGACATTGAGAAAGGTAAATTGTAATGTAACTATCTTTGTGGTGCAAAAATGATTTAAAAGTATTTTAACCCTTTAAGTTAAATATCTGAATGTTAATTCTCCCCACTAGCTGCTACACATTTCCTTGTAAATTATTCGTATTTGGTTAGATCAAGGTAAAAAGTTCTACTAGATAAGTTTGAGAATTCTCACTACCTGTTTGCTGCATAATGTGTGAATATTACAGGGAGAAGTAACATGTTAAATAGGGTAAAGCTGAAGAAAGAGTAATTTGCAATTATTATGCATTTGTAGACTCATTATAAACCTCGCCATGAGTGAACATTAGTTGATGTTCTATCATGGGGAGTAATCAAGGAATTTTCTGTGAATGTTTACTTATCTACCAAACATAAAAATAAAGATTCAAATTGTCAACCATTTAACCTCTTCATAGTGCCTATTCAGGAGAGCTCTGATCCCCCTGTTGATCAACCTCCCCAGTCCCCATCATCACCTCAGTCCAGAGGAAAGCATATTGTAAGTAAAAAGTTCAATGGAACCTTTATTTGGTATAAAAGAACCTTTGATTTATTTAATGTTCTTATATTCATTAATTTATTGATTTTACTTTCACCTTCATTTGCCAAAGGATGATGTAAGAGTGTCCTTCAGCAAGTGGTGGTTGTTCATTTTCCTTAGGATAGCCTAAATTATCAATGGGTGCAACAACAGTCACCCGAGGCTAATGAGAATGAATAATGTAGACATTTAACTTGTTTAACAATCAATTACGACTGTGGTTAAGAAGTTCAATTAACATGGGCTGGTCATTGATTTATGACTGAATGATTTTGTTCTTGATAAGAAATCCCACCAGTTCAAATGGCCACAAAAGTCTTCAGCAGTAAGGGCAACAACAGAGGACATTGAAAAAGGTAAATTGTAATGTAACTATCTTTGTGGTGCAAAAATGATTTAAAAGTGTTTTAACCCTTTAACTTAAATATCTGAATGTTAATTCTCCCCACTAGCTGCTACACATTTCCTTGTAAATTAGTTATGAGTATAAAACTAAACATTCAAATTGTCAACCATTTGACCTCATCACAGAGCCTGTTCAGGAGAGCTCTGACCCCCCTGTTTATCAACCTCCCCAGTCCCCATCATCACCGGAGCCTACTAAGAAGAATAATGTAAGTAGAAAGTTCAGTGGAACTTGCATTTGGTATAAAAGAACCTTTGATTTATTGAATGTTCATATATTCATTCATTTAATTAATTTTATTTTCACCTTCATTTGCCAAAGGATGACATAAGTCAGTGTCCTTTGGCAAGTGGTGGTCATTGATTTTCCTGAGGATAACCTAAATTATCAGTAGGCGCATTAACAGTCACCCAAGACTAATGAGAAGGAAAATGTATAATACAGAATAAATAATGTAGACAGTTAACCTGTTTAACGATCAATTAAGACAGTGGTTAAGAAGTTCAAACAACATGAGCTGATCATTGATTAATGATTGAATGATTTTATTCTTGAATAGAAATCCCGCAGGTTCAAATGGCGACGAAAGTCTTCAGCAGTAAGGGCAACAACAGAGGACATTGGGAAAGGTAACTTGTAATGTATCTTTATTTGTGGTGAAAAAGCTAAGGCAATAACATTCCATCATGCTCAGGGTTTTACTGACAGTAAGCTCCCATATCTGATGAGTATTTTCCTATGAATGATAGATAAAATACCTAAAGTTAAAAGGTTTTTTTTCTTATGTTAACCATTCTGTATTGCATGAGATTTCAACTGCAAGGTCTGTGAAAAGAGTTGGGTTGAGATAATTAATGTATGATTAATTTAAGGATTTCTTCTGATTAATTAACTACAGTTGAATTAAAAAGGAAATGTCACTATTAAATAAAAATTTTTCAAACCATGCAGACTCACAGGTTGGAGTACATCGCATTACTTTTGAAGAATCGCATCCTTCATGTGAAGAGTATTTGGGTTTTTTCACAAAAAGCGGTGAGTGATTGAAATCACATTAGGCTGGAGTTTTTGGTTCATGTAGTTTAAGAAAATAAGTCTTCATAGTGGTATGATAATCTTTTCTGAAAGGAGTTTTAAATATTTCTTTATTCAGATCATTGTGATCAATCAGGCAACGATGTTTTCCTTTTGAACACTGGGAAGCTACCAGTAGTATCAAAACTGTTCCAAAGGTCAGAATCAAAGAGGCTTGCTGACAATCTCTGCTCGTAAGTGAGAGTATTTCTTTAATTCTATGTTAATGACTAAACTATGTTCATTTCTATGTTATCCAAAAGAAAACTTTTTAAGGTGATAATTAGATACACACTGTGCTCAGGATATTTGGGATCCAGTTGAAAGTGCAGTGTAGGTACTCACATGATGGTTATATACAATTCAATCATTCCCTATCGTGCAAAATGCAGTGGAATTGAAGTAAATTTTTTGTTTCTTGCAATACAAGATTTTACATCTTGTATTACCAAACTGGGTTTAAATCATCGTTGTTTGATCCCTGAATTCAGAAATGTAGAAGAGTACATCAAGAAAAATCTTGTCACTGACAAATTCACAGTTGTTATCCATGGAGAGGATGATGGTGCAAAGCTTTGTTCACTATAACGATAATGTGGGTTAATCATCTTTGTTTGATCTTTGAATTCAGAAATGTAGAAGAATTTGTCCGCAAAAATCTGGTGACAGACAAATTCACAGTCATTATTCATGGAGAGGACGATGGCACGAAATTGTGCTCCCTTTATTTGGCAAAGAAATTTTACAGACTATTAAAGACCAGGTAAGAGAAGTTTGTACTGATGGAGACATATACCTACTTCAAATATTAGCAACCAAATCAACAAAGTCAGAGGTCAGATGATAAATTTGGTGAATTATACTGGTACTGGTAAAAAGCATCTTATGATGCTGATAACTTTGCACATCAGTGGATGTTTTACAATTATTTTGCTTATAGAGTACAAGATATTGTTTTATCTGACAGATTTTAGTAATGATATAAATTAAACTGTAATGTTTCTTTTATTGCTTTTTTTCTGCAGGTTCTTTGAAGGATTGAACTTTTGCATCATTTTAAAGGCAAAACTCTCCCTAAAAGCAGTCTTCAAGCTTGCCAAACCATTCATCCCGTGTGTATAAGAAACAAATAGTTTATTTTATAGCTGAAAAATATGATAGTGCTTGATTTTTGATATTCTTGTCAAATTAAAAGCCATTGACATTAAAAAATGCAATCAGAAAAAAGGCAGAGACTGTTAGAAAGAGATTATCTGGTTTCATTAACTGAGTTGATAATGTAAATTGGCCACTGTAAAGAATTTCTAACGCTGTTTCCTTGTAGTCCTTCGTAAGAGCAAAAGAAGGAGTCTATTAGAACTGAAAGATAAAGCATGACTGTGAACTGCCTATAGAAGGGTTAAATGAGATTGAAAATGTTGTAATAAATTCATGTTATACAGTCATGTGAATGGCTGACAGGCTCAAATTTCCATAGAGTGTATGCTAAGATTTTATGAATGTGAAAAATATTTTTGGTATTAGACAATGGAAGTTTGTGTTTTCAAGTAACAGCAAGATTAAAAGGAAATTTTCATGAAAACATCTGCTAAAGATGAGAAGTTATAAAGTTTTACCATAATGCATGTCATTTGCTGACAGTGTTCATCTTTTTTTAGGAACAATGTGAAGCAAAAGATTTCTATGGTAAATGATGTTGGTGAACTTGTTGTGTTTCATGGTAAGAACTTCACTGAAAGGTGTATGAAGTATGTGCTAGAAAAGAATATAAATGCATTTTTTTAACATTTTCAAATAATGGAATGACATAGGATTAAACTTGATGTTGTGATGTACTGGATTGTATTACATTCTGTGACATTTAATTAGTAAGTACAAATTATGACAGGTGTAATTGAAAGTCAAAGTGAAGAAGAAGTGAAAACAATTTTAGATTCAAAATTCCTTGGAAAGCTTATTGTTGTATTAGCATTTAATGTGTTAAGTCATGAGTGTTTGTCAGTTGATTTCCTTTTTGTTTTGTTCTAGGTATACCAGAGACACTTCTCCAATATACATGCTAGTTACTACAGATACCATGTTAGGGTTGGGGGGGGGAACGTTTCATATTGTCTTTTATTTGTTTATATTTTGTAAACAGAGATTCAAGTTCTGTCAGATTTTTCAATACTTCACTATACCATGTCAGGGATGGGGGGGGAATGTTTCTTATCGTCTTTTCATTTCATGTATCAAGATTATTCTAAAATATTCTGCATACCAATGTTGCATGCCGCCCATGGCAGATTAGTTGTCAAGCTGTTGCACAGTGATAACAAGATCATGTCAGTTTTACACAGTTTCTTCCAGCCTTGTCTCTGTTGTGATCAGTAGGAAGCACTGAAAGCAAGAGCACTGAAGATACATTAATAGGGAATTTTTTAGGATATACAAATTGTAGAAACGTTTTTTAGGGTTTTGAAATTTAATAGTATCTTCAAGAGAATAAGTCATGACTAAGGTTTATTCTTTTTAACATGAAGAAGTGCATAATGTAACTTCCATCAAGATCAATTGTGTCTCCTAGTGTTACATCACAAAGTGGCTGCAAAGTACATTGCATGCTTATTTCTTGCAGAGACCCTTGAGAATCTCTTTAAGAAGAGTAGCATAACAACAGCTCTCTCTTTCTGTAGTATTGATAATTTTATTTAGTACCAAATGTGACAGCAACCAATGACTGTGCATCATGCAGACTGTTAAATAGCTAATCATCAGAAAATGGGCATGATTTTTTTATATATGAAAAAAAGAAGTGATTATTGTAGAATATGCATTCAGCTAGAGTTTTCATAAGAACTTTCACAAGAAGTTGGACATATACTTTGTAAACGTAGCATAATCATGAAGGGTCCAATTAAAATGCAAGATAATTACTTCAAATTTCGCCAGACTTCTTTCAAAGATGTATATTCCCTGACCTTGAGGAAATTTTTATATCCCTGACTTTTCCCACAACTTGCAGCGACCATGGATAATGCTCCTGGTATAAAACACTTGGTGGAATTAGTTCCTAATGACCCCAAGTATTCCCCCGCGTTATCCCCTGTATGTAGCACGCAAGTACACGTGAAACACCTTCTGAAGTCGCCGTCGAATAAGACCAGCGGTGTTTTCAATTCAAATAAGCGCTTGGGAAATCCAAAATGGCGGACGAAGTAGAAGAAGATTTGCAAAATAAGACGTTTCGGTGTCATTAACCCCCGATATTCGTCGTGTTTTATTTACTTTGTGTCTACAAGATGAAGACAAGATTTACCACCGTTGATCTTTGCGCGGTGATCACAGAGCTAAGAGGAAGGTGAGATTATTAGCGACGAAAATATTTCGTTGTCGAGTGCTTCCTCTTCTGTTGCGAGTTTTCAGTTGATGGCATTTTAAATTATCATCGCACTTGCCTTACTTAAAATTAATCTCTTTTTATGACAGCCTCCTTGGCATGAGGGTGGCCAATGTATATGACATCGATAACAAGACCTATCTGATCAGACTTGGAAAGTAAGATTATCTATTTTTTGTCCGTCAGTGCTGCCTTAGATCCTTAAAGTTAAGTTTAATTGGACGCCATTGTAACGTGAACTCGAGCTTCCTGAAAAAAAAGTAATTTTTCACGCGAGGCTGTAGTAACTACTCTGCCTAGTTGGCGGTTTTTTTTGGATAGCCTAAGCAAGCTCGGTCATGATAAAACGCAGACTGCAGACCGTGCAGACCCCTAGAAAGAAGCGTCATTAGATGACCTGTTCGTCTCGTCCTAGGAGATCGTTTCATTCTTTATATCAACCGAAAAACAAACAAATAGCTTTTGGCAACATAATTTCTTTTTAGGATCCCTGAAAATGATTTCGAAATGATGCTTTTGGATGATGTTTAATCAGTACTCCAGAGTGGAGGGGAACAGGGGGGCAGGAACCCAGGAGAACTGGGGGCAGAAGAGGGCAGGAAGCAGGAGCAGAAATAAAAAAGGCACTCGTTTGTTGTTTTTTACTGCTTATCATCCTTTACTGTGGATGTAGCGTGAATGGCTTGTGTGTTTGTTAGTGAGAGAAGGGTATAAGACCTAATTCTATCCCAGGCTTTCTTCACAAACAACATAATTTTGCTGCCCTGATTGGTGCTCTCAGTGTGCGCTTAATTCAGTTTGGCCAGAAACTTAAATCTTTGAAAATGATTGGCTGATCTTAGGCTCATACTAGAAAAACTGCTAATATGTGGAATGGGCCCAAATTTGCTCTTTACTTTTCTACCCACCTTCTTAATATGTAAACAGTTCAAATTCCTGAATTGTTGTATTGGACACCATGGTAGAGCTAAGTGTATCTGGGAGGTTTTATAGTCATGGAAAAGCTCTTAAAGAAGACCAAAGAAGGAAGATAATACAGGGCATCATCAAGAAAAGGGGAGAGTTCTCCACAGGTTTCTTTGTAGGAAGTTTTTCAGTGAAAAAATTTGGAAGGACACATTTGAAAAATGATTTGAAAAGGTCATGCTTGTAGACATTCATGTAGCAGGGATATAGAGTAAAATAAAGATGTGACCATGGGTGAGGCCATGGTGTGTAAATTTGGCTCATTTCACAAATTAATGGTTATTTTAGCTATCAGTTTGCTGATTTTTGGTATTATTGACAATGTTTTAAGGACTGATGTTAAAGTCATGTTACTGGTAGAATCTGGTAACAGAATAAATACAACAGAATTTGAGTGGCCCAAGAATATGATGCCATCTGGATTTTCAATGAAGGTAAGCCTATGTTACACAGATGTGTGACTTTGTAACTTTTATTACCATCTTTGAGATGAGTTTTATATTTCATTCGGATTTTCATGTGATGTAATATATTGATTTTAATGTAATTTTTTTTCCTTAGAGGTACTATAGGGAGACCTGGGATTCTGGTCATTGATCCTGCTAGAATATTGTTTTACCTCCATTTACCAATTTGCTGAACTGTTGTAACACAGTTGTTGTTCATGTTTGTTTTTAATTCATGTTTGTATCCAATATGTTTACTTGGCCTGGTGATCTTGCACATACCCAGAGGCACCAATGGCCTAAAATATCTATGTATGTGTAAAAGAAATTCATTCAAGGATTTTAACCTTATATTTATCAATTATAACTGGTTTTTTTTCCCAGTGTCGTAAACATATTCGTTCCCGGAGGCTTGTGAACATCAGTCAATTGGGAATTGATCGGATTGTTGATTTACAGTTTGGCTCAGATGAGGCAGCTTATCATCTGATTGTGGAACTTTATGATCGGGTAAACCATATCTTGTTTCATTGATGTCTGTTTTTTCCTTTTTGTTTTTTTTTTCTGATGTAGAATGATTCGAATTTTTTAATGCAAGATAAATTTTACAATGCATTTGATTTGTGTTCATTTCAGGGCAATATTTTTCTCACTGATTACGAATACACAATCCTGAGTCTTCTAAGAACAAGAACAGATGCTGATGATGTCAAATTTGCTGTGCGTGAAAAATACCCAGTAAATTCTGCCCGACAGAGGGAGCCATTAATGAACCAAGAAAGGTGTGCAACATACTATTTGTGTGTGGTTGGTGATAATCTTTTCTTATTTGGAAGAAACTTTTCATTGCTTCTTTCTTTTTCTTTTTTTATACTCAATGATGTTTTTAAAAAAGAACATCTGTTGCACTACAATTTATTGTTGTTTAAATTTTTCAGGGTATGTGAAATTTTATCAGAAAGCAAGGAAGGAGTAGAAGTAAAGAAGGTTTTAAATCCACATTTTGGTAAGATTGTGTCATCAGTTAATTAGGAAAATTTGATTATAAATGCATACTCTTGCACTAAACCACTGTTGAGACTCTGGTAACTCTTGGAGAAATAGAAAGCAGCTTTGTAAGAGGAGTGTTAATTTATAGGAACTCAAATAACAAATAAAATAAATTTTCCCTCTCAAGATCTGAACACCACTTCCATGTGTGCTGTCTGCCAAACATATCTTTAACTGATTGTTGATCTGAAAACTTGTTGTAAGACAAAACATCATCTCTTAGTTGATGATATTTCTTTCCTCTCATGACTTCTTTCTTGAAGATACAACCATAGTACAGGGAGATATTTCTCACTGGTCACTCTTGGGTGTGAAAGGAATCAGATTATGAATGTGCAGTGACACATCTGTGATTTTGCTCTTTTTTCATTGATTTTAAGTCAAATTGGGATTAAAAGGGTTAACTTTGTGGCAAGAATAAGAAACAACATTAAACTCAATGGGTTCTCACAACTGGGGCTATAATTTCTTTCCCAATTAATCCTGATGGATGGTATTTACCCCTAAATTTTCAAGATCTGATTGATAACTCTCCCTTCTAGCTGCTTGGCATTTCCTTTTAAATTAGCTATGAGAATTTGGTCTTAGATCAAGATAACAACCTCTACCTGATAAGTTTGAGTATTCTCAAAACCTATTTGTTTGATAATGTATTAATATTTTAGGGAGAAGTTACATGTGATCACCTGTAGGAGTTAAACAGTTAGGGTGTCAGCACTGAAATTTAACTTCAAGAACTTACATGTACACACGGGACTGTAAACCTTACAAATTATTGAAGATGATAAGACACTTTCTTGAAAAGTTTGTCATTTGAATTAGCTTAAAGATGGCTGAAGCCAGATACAGGGCTCTGTTTTACATGTGTTTCATCAACAGCATTTTTCTTATTCCAACAGTGTATGGTGCTGCTCTGATAGAACATTGCCTTATGGAAGTAGGGTTCCCTGAAAATGTCAAGATTGGAACAGGATTTAATGTAGCAGAAGGTTGGTAAATTAATTAGTATTAATTGTTAAATCATTTGCTAAAATTCAAATAAATGTTTCTAAATTTATTTAACAATCATTGCCATCTCTTTCTGTTTGTTTAGATCTTCCTGAAGTTATGGAGGCATTAAAGAAAGCTGAAAGTTTTTTGGAAATGACACTCACAGAGAAATGCAATGTAAGTATGCTTTCCTTAAATAATTTTTTCTGGGGCTAGTAAATTTTTGAAGCTTCAAAAGAGAGGGGTTTGTGAAAGATTGGAGGAAGGGGCCTTGGAGAAAACACCAAATTTGAATGTGTCATTTTGCTTTTGAAATTTAACTCAGCTTTTCTGGATACTGTAAACAGCATGCATTTCTTTGGTTGAAAAACAAACAGATTCCTTGTTGGATAGTATTATTCTGACAAAGTTGTTTCCTTGGTGTCCTAGGGAGTTATTGTTCAAAAAAAGGAACAGAAACGTTTAAACAATAAGAGCAATGGCACAGATCAGGATGAACTGCTAACGTAAGTTGGTTAAGAATTGAATTTAGTTGGTACTGCTAGTTAACATATTATCACTTTATTCTTTACTCTGCCCTATCCAAGAGGAAGATTTGATTTCAAAGGAGAGGTTTAAAAATGTATTGAAGTGAGCATCAGACTCTGCAAAAGTAGGTGACTGTAAAAAATTCATCAAGGGCAAAAAGGTAATTATTTTGACCAAGGTAACCAGTGATATGTTATCAAGTAGCCGATGGAACTCTAGTGGTTGCCAGTTTGTTTTGAAACCGCTGTGGAATTCATAGATTGATTCAAGACACTCGTCCTCTTTCAACAACATATATTGTATTTCAAACTGATTTCAGGTTGGGATTAATTCATTGTAGTGCAATTTGTGTTTTCCTCTGTCTAGGGACTATGATAATGTACTGTATCTGGAGCAAAAGGAAAAAACAATCAAACTAGGTTGACGCAGTTTTACCTGATGTTCAACTCTAATGCTTGTGATATAAAGCATATAAATTTATAGTTTTATTCAAAACAAATCACTGAAGCTAACATTTAAATGAGGGAAATAAATGTGTACATTCTCTGACATGCTTGTCATTTTTCTACCTTTGAAGATATCAAGAATTTTACCCATTCTTACTGAATCAACACAAGAAAAGTCCATATCTGGAGTTTCCATCATTTGACAAGGTAATCAGCAACAATGTTGCTTTAACCCATTAACACTTTTATAAAACACATCATACCACTTTTACTGCCTCATTTTTTTCTTTTTAAACATGCTGATTTGAAGTCTTTCAAATGCACACCCATTTACTATTTCTTAGCATACCTCCAAGTGAAATTGAAGAGTGCCTTAACCCTTTCACTTCCACAAGTGACCAAAATAGAATTTCTCCTTACAATATCAATACAATATCAAGCAGGCAGGTGATGAGAATAGAGAAGAATATCAATTATGGGATTATTGGTTGATCCAATACCAAATTCTCTGAACTAACATCATAAGAATTGTATGGCAGATAGTAAGGAGAATTACCAATTAGATCTTGGGAGTGAAAGAGTTAAGAGCATATTGAGATGTGTTTGTGTGGATAACTCAACCATTTAATTTAACTTTGCTAAAAAAAATTTGTACATCTAGAAACTTACCCAGCCAGTAAAAAGCATGCTTACTCATGGGCTATAAACGTGTTTTTGTTGATAACTCAACCGTTTTGTTTAACTTGATTAGTTAGTATATCTAGAAGCTCCCAGACAGTAAAAAATGAGCTTACTCTTGGGTGTAAATGCGTGTTTGGTTTAACACATTATTGTATAACTTGCATAGTGATTCATTATTATTTTTAGGCATTTTTTCTTCCTTTTATTATTAATCTGTATCAGACAAAGAGCTTTTTGCGTATAGATACTATCACGATAAACAATAATGATAATGATATTAATTGTAAAAATAATGATACTATAAATAATTCTACCACGACTACTATTAACAATACTTATTATTATTAGTTATCATCATATTTATTTTAAATGTTGAACAAGTTTATATTAATAGCATCTCTTGAGAAACCATTTCAGTGATGAGTTATTTTTATTGCATTTTTACATAACCATCTAATTATGAAATTATCACCCAAAAATAATTATAATCTTGAATCTTTAGGCAGTGGATGAGTTCTTCTCAAAAATTGAAAGCCAGAAAATTGACATGAAGGCTCTGTCTCAGGAAAAGACGGCACTGAAGAAGTTAGAAAATATCCGAAAAGATCACCAAAGAAGAATTGACTCGCTGCAAAAGTCTCAGGTAAAGCGGTGTATTTACTTTAAAAGCAATTTACGATTGAGCTTTGACACCCACAACAAGCAGTTACGATGGCCAATCAGAATAATGGAAAATATCATTGTGAACCAATGAGAACTCAAGGTAAAATCGACTGATCAGAACTACTTGAAAAGGCGGGAAAATCCGAGTGGACAAGTCACGATGGGATTTAATTTGGCATCTGATTGGTTGACAGGATGGTTCAAGATTCCTAGAGTAATCACAAAACAGATGAAAGCAAAACCAATGCAATCGAGTATTATTTTCGACAAGCAATTGAAACTTGCTTAATGATTACTGCATTATTAGCTTAAAAAGGAAAGTTAATATTTCCGTCTCTCTACGTCACACAAAAATTTTCAATTTTAATGTGGAAGTTGAGATTTTTTTTTTTTCAAAATTCTTAAATACAGTACGCACTTTGGTCGATCAAATCTGGTCTATTGTTTACGGTGCCGGGTGATTTCTAGTTGTTTTAAAGTTGATAATCTTATTTCCACGAAAAGTTAGAGTTGTAGAAAAGATAATTGCCTCCGCTTTTAAGTTTTTATGAGTTCCTTCCCCTCCGCTCCTCTCCTTAATGAGCCCTCCAGTTTAGAAGCCCTGGAGATTTCTAAGCCCTCCCCCAGGGGGTTTTTACATCCATTGCGGTACTTAACATAACTTTGTGCTTCAAATGCATTTAGAATCTAGATTTGTTGAAAGCTGAACTTGTGGAGTTAAGCTAATCGCCCTTCTTACTAGCCTTAAAAGAAGTTGATACTTCCTCATCGACTTAACGTCAAACAAAATATGCAAATCTATCGTGAAAATTACGATTTTTTTAATATCACTAAATGCAGCGTGCGTTTTTTGTCGATCAAAACTGATTCATCGTTTACTGTTCTGAGAGATGTATAGTTATTTTATAGGCGAGAATCTTATTGCCATGAAGTTTTCTTGTGATATCCAAAAGCCTTCGATAGCATTCGTTCTAGATAGTTCCAGGTGTTTTACAACCAAAGAGAATACTGTAATCGGTATTTATCAAAACGTAGATCCGAAAAGACAATCACGCTCACTTTGAATTTTTGAGCCCTCTCTCTTTTTGATGAGCCCCCTGCTTGGAAGCTTTGAAAATGAATAAGCCTCCAACCCCGCAGGGCTTTTAGCCGCTATTTTGGTACTTAATGCAACATTGTTCTTCAAACACATTTAGGATGTAGACATGTTGAGAGCAGAGCTTGTGGAGTTAAACCTACCATTGGTAAGTTGGAAGTCTTTCAATGGCCTTTGTCAAATTGTTTTGCCTTTCAATGGCCTTTATCAAATTGTTTTGCCTTTCAATGGCCTTTATCAAATTGTTTTAAAGGATATCCTTCAACATTTTTCCCCACCAGGGTGAGTAATTTTCTCGTTTTTATCGCAATCAGACGACTGATTGAATGGGCAACTCGAGGAGCCCTTCAATAACATTTACTCTGTAGTCTTACAACCAATAAAATTGAAGCAGTTAACATTTTTTTTACAAACCTACGTTGCATTTTATGAACGGTATGTAATGACCACCTTTAAGTATTTTTTAATGTTCACATACATTTTGAAATTACTAAAGAGATGCAGCGTCGATGTTATAATGTTTATAAGGAAGATCTTCTTAGATCTTCTCTGTTATCGTGGAGATAAGATGCCAAATTCCAATCATTTTCTCCGCCCTCTCTAATTTATCTCTACAATTCTGTTCAATCCACTTTTGAGATAGACAGCTCAAAGAGAGAGAGCTATTAAAAGCTCACCTGAAAACTTAATGGAAAAAGTTGTTCTGTTTTAACAAATTTGTCTTGCATCCAAATAATAAATAGTATTTTTTAGCTGGATATAACGATGACAAATAAATACGATGGATAATTTTTTCGACAAAAAGGGCCGAAAACAAGAATTGCGTGCAATTTAAATCCGGCCTCCCGCTGAACACCCAGCAGGTGGCTTTAATTTACACGTAAGCTCATCAGCTCTTAACAGGAAGTGGCCACAATAACGCTTTTAAACAAAGGCTCTGCGTCGTAGACATCAGACTCGTACATTCTATGCGGAGACAGGCGCTAAACCAAAACGCTCTACACAACAGCAAGGCTACCACTCTTCTCCTAGACTTTAGCTTGAAAAATGGAACAAGGCTCAGATCCCATGTATCCAGCGTACATGAGTAATTCGGTTATGAATGGCTGTTTATCCTATACGGCCATAGTGCTTAACATTTTAACAATCAATGCACTCAGGAAAACTTCATCTTTGCCAAAGACTCTGAAAACATTACTGTTAAGTCTTGCTGTGTCTGATCTTGGAGTTGGATTAATGGTACAGCCTCTCTATACTGCGTTACTGGTTGAAGGTTTGCAACAAAAGCGAACAAATTGGATACTGGCCTTGTGCACATTTTCTGCTGGTTTATTTGCAATCTCGTCGTTTCTTGGTGTGACGGCTCTGAGTGTAGACAGATTTTTAGCTGTTCATCTTCATCTCAGATATCAGGAACTAGTAACTCACAAGCGTGTTGTGTTCGGGGTAATAATATTGTGGCTGTTTGGTGCATTGATTGCTTTGTTATCTTTCTGGAATACAATAGTGTTGTTAATCCTTCTGACGTGTATTTCCAGTCTGTGTGTCATCTTTTGCACAACTGTGTATTGTAAGATTTATTTCACTGTACGGCGCCTTGCAAGCCGACTGCAGCATCGTCCACAGAGGGGACAAGAAGTACCCCAAGGCAATAAAATAGCGGTGAATGCTGACAAGCTCAGAAAATTTGCTCTCAGTACATTTTACGTGTTTCTGGTCTTTTTAATCTGTTATTTGCCACATAACTGCATGTTGGTGGCGCGTATCCTGATCCCTCAACAAAATACGTCGATGCGCACATTTGATTTATTTTCTGTAACACTGGTGTACCTTAATTCGACCTTAAATCCTGTCGTCTACTCATGGAAGATAAGACATATTCGTCTCGCTATTATGAACTCACTGCGAAAACTTGTTTTTTATCACAACTGAATTGATAGTGAACCTGTAAGGTTTTTGTTTAGAAACGCACGATCTGCACCCAATATTGAAAAAACAAAAAAGAAAAAAAAAACTGAAGGACAAAGTACTTTCTAAATTAACATAGATTTGATAATGTGAGGGTGGAAAACTAGAAAAGACTATCTGAAAGTGAACAAAAAACAGAAGTTTGATAAAATAATATTTTGAAGATGAAAGATGTAGATAGCATCTGTCGTTAGGTAACCTTATAGAATCAGAACGATGTACGTTTTCGTTAAAAAGTAATGTATTACATTTGTAACTTGTTTTCCGAGAAAGATTAAAAAAAAAGCCATACGTGATGTAAAAAATAAAATAATGGAGTAACAAGAGCTTTTCTTCGTAATGTTTTTAAGGAAAAAAAGTAATCGCTTGTAGAAAAATAATTAAAACCAGCAATAATCGGAGACGTAATAAAAGAACACCTTGTAGATTGAAAAATGATTTCTTTCGGTGTTGGATACCATCAATGACCACAACATTATGGACCTAATGAAATATATTACATGTCGTGTAAAACCTTTTTGATTCGTAGTACAATTGCATTCCTTTGTGGCAACGTTACTTATATGAAACTGGTTGGTATGCGAAAAAAAAAAAAAACTTTGCGTGGCTCTCTCGATTCGAGATTTAAATCTGATTTAAATTGGTCCTGAAATTGAGCTTCGCGTCCCCGTTTTTCCTATGAATTTTCGATGACAACGAAAACAAAATCTCAGGCAGAGTGGAATACTGTCAAATTTCTCGTCTAGCCGAACAACCCTCAGACAAGACACATTTCGTCTCTGTTATTTGATTGGTTGGTGGAATTAATGGAAGAATTAATATGATCGGTGTTACATGCTCAACTTAACATACAAATACGCTGTATACCTCTTGTGTCGGCAAAGGGCCTTTCTTATCATTAAGAAAAAAAAGTATGAAGAAAATACTCTAAAAAACATTTAAAAAGAGTCATTAAAGAGTTGTTCCATTTTAATCAGTTTTGACTTTTGAGGCATAAGCAGAACGTTAAAGGCATGCTTCATTGAATCCCTGGCCTTTGTGTTGCCGCCGATATGAACGTAAATTTTACTTTATGCCCAAAAGATAGGGTATCAAATTTCATGAGGCGTCTCTAATGAAGTTGTTGGTGAAATCTATGTCGGCGTTTTGTTAATGGCAACAATGCTTATAACTGAAAAAAAAAATGAAGACGATTCCCTGTGATTTTCCAATTACATTTTCATATGGGAAAGGGAAATTGGGAGAGACGGAAGCAGTTCTGACATTTTCTTTTGCAAGAAATAAATTATCCTTTAGGGAGTGGAAAGATCGCCGATCTGTACGATTTCTTGTGGCATGGCTCTGATTTAGGGCCCAGAACTTATATCTAAACAAACAGGACTGTCAAGGAAGTAAAGAAAATTGTTCGATAATGTAAGATCTAAACAAAGGAGATGTTTCGTTTTGTGCAGTTTATACAAGGCCTTATGGAACGGGCCCTTCTAAAACTTGACCGTTTCCTAATTTTAAAGCAATAACGCGAGCACAAGGGCGATTTGTTAATTTTACGCGTTTTGAAGTACTCAGCCTTCACCCAACAAGTGATAATCAATTATCGGTAGGCACCTGCGGAATGAGTTAAGCGCCACTTAACTTTTTCCGTCGACATAATCTTTCACTACAATGTCAATACTTATTTCTTTGACGCACGTAAGGCTAACTAAACTCATTTTTTGTCTCAGCTCTACGGATCCTCTGATCGTGCTTAAAATATCTTTTTCCGTTTCTGGTTTTTTCTGTTAGTCCGGCGATACGTTAAATTGTAGTGTAAATTTTTTGAAATGAAAAACCGTGGGCGTGACGGCAATCTATTCATTTCACATTAACCAATTCCATGCCTTTTACCTTTTATCGTGCACAGACGCCGTCGCTTCCTTAGCAATGAGATGTGAACAGCTTGCATTTGCGGAAAACCCTCAATCACTCTTTACTTTTTCGGGTACACAAGTTTACTTTATTTTTTTCCACTGGATTTGATGCACGTTAGACCTATTAGCTTCCCGGCTGGCTTCAAGAAAACGCGACATTTTAAATGCTTCTCTTAAATCATATTTGCCAGTAACTATGTACGCAAAAAAGAGCGAGAGTTTGGCACCGAAATTTATGTTGTTATTTACTGGGCGGGAAGTCGGACGGCATGAAAATAATGGCTGAGGTCTTGAGGAAAAATTGCGGACCGTGGTCCGTAGTGGAAAAAGCTGAACCGGCTACGAGCGCGCGATTAGTCAATCTTGTTTAACACAAGATTGCCGTTTTGAATGCGATTATGCAGTCATAAAGCCCTAGAGGGGTCACAAAAAAAAATTTTTGACTTCGCTCTGTGGACGATAAAGTGAACGTGACCCTTTACACTCTTACATCAGTATGTTCAGTATGTGTTTTCTTCCCAATGTTCTGTATTCGTTTACCCTTATACGTACAAGGAGAATTTGTTTAATAATCATGAGCCTATTTAGTCGGAGATTGTTTTTTTTTTCTTTCATGGCCTGAATATTTGATTTAGTAGCGAAATTAGATGGTACTCACTCTTAGCGGTGAAAGGCTTAGTAAATAAATAAAATAGGGTGAATCGGCCGCTACATGCAATCCAATTCGGAACGAAAAGTTCTGTTGTGTTGTTTCACCAAGAACTCACTCCCTCCTCTTAAAACAAGAAACAATATCATTGGCACGCTCGACATGCCTATGTTTTAGTCTAGACTTGCGGAACTGTGTAAAAAGCAGAGAGGAGGGAGGGGTGGGAGGGAGGGGTGGGGGAGGTGAGGATGCTGCATGCATTAAGTTTCCTTGAAATATCGATTTTGAAGATTGTTTTACTTTGCGAAGAAATTATTTGTCACCAGAAAAAAAAGAAGTTTTGGTTTAGAATATAATACTGAAATGTGAATTCGTCTTTTATTTTCGTATATCATAATGGAGCGGTAGCAGCCAATTGTCGAAACAGGTTTTCTTTTACGCGTGATTAAAATGCTTTGTTCGAAAAGGAGGTGTTTTTCATTCTTATGGAAAACGGACCTTTGTAAACTTGGAATCGTCAATTATTTATGAAGAAACGTCTGATATTCTAATGAAGTTTGAACTAATTTTTCTGTGGACTTAATTTTATGAATATTTCGTGTTTTCGTGGCCTCAGCGTAAATTTATATGCTAATTAATTCCCATTTCCTTTTTTAATTTTTTCTTTTCTCAGGATAACGTTATTGCACTTAGTTGTATGTGAATTGATCAACATGTGGACGAATTAGACAAGTCTCTGAATAGTATTTTTAGGAAATACACTCGATAAGTATGCGATAATTGTGTTGGATTATGGAGCGACAAATAAACTCGATCGGGCCCGTCACTGCGGGTCAGTAATGACGATATAATGAAATGCATGTGGACATTTCTTTGTAGGTAAACCGACAGATGTCACCATTCTGAACTAGTTAATTAATCAGTCCCGAACAGAACTCGGAAAGGCAATATAAATAAGTTAAACATCTCGCACAAGATCAAAGTATGTAATAATACGGAGAAGGATGTGAGCGAACCTTAAATTATTTTTTTTTTTAAACGAACCTTAATTTTTTTTGAAAGCTGCGTTCCCTATCCTAAGTTGCACTGTTGCAAGTGAAAAAGTTATTTGCTATTTATCGAACATTGCTAATCCTATTTTAAGCGCCTTTTTCTCGGCACATTCGTGATATTCCAATCCTGGTATGAAGTGTGCAGCTTTGAAACACTGAAAACGAGACGAAAAAACCGTTAGAAACAACTCAAGGCGGTAGCCCTCTGTGCTTTCGATGTCTTCTAAAAATAATACAGGACAGGTGGCAGGAACCTGCCCCTAGCTTATTCATAAGTCATCGACAAGAGCTTTTAATAAAGCATTTCAGCAGACCTAACTTTTCAAATGAGATTGACTCATTCTCCGCATACAAGCTCATCTCAACGAGTCAGGTACTTATCCAACAAGATCATGGTTCAGGCTCAAGACTCCATCCATTGTATTATTAATGTTGTCTTTAACTCGTTCTCTTCTTACACATCCATAATGTTAAACGTTTTGGCAATTATTGGCATGGGGAAGTCGTCGGCATTGCCAAAGATTTTAAAAACGTTGCTGATAAGTCTTGCTGTTTCTGATCTCTGCGTTGGTTTATGTGCACAACCTATTTATGTCGCACGACTGGTTATTTGCCACTATGAAGGACGTGCCTTGGAAAAAGTGAATGTTCTTGAGATTGTCGATCCCTTCTTGCCTCGTGCCTTTTGGTTTGCATCGTTTCTGAGTGTTACAGCTCTGGGTGCCGAAAGATTTCTGGCCATTCACCTTCATCTTAGATATCAGGAACTTGTGACACACAAACGTGTTGTTGCTTTGGTTGTTGTAGTATGGGTGGTTAGTGCATCGCTGTCATTAATCAAGTCTCTCCCGTTGCAAATTGGTGATTCAATCTTGGTCGTAATTTTTGGTTTTTGTTTTATTTGTACTTCCATTTTTTATTGTAAAATTTATTCCACTGCGCAGCGACACACAAACCGAATTCAAGCCCTTCATGTCCACAATAGTGAAATGGCAGTGTACATTGCGAGGATAAAGAAGTCGGGGTTGTGCACATGCTATGTGTATGTCGTGTTTTTGTTGTGCTACTTGCCTCATTACTGTACATATGGTGTGGGTTTAGTTATTCGTGAACCAAATACCACGTATTTTAATTTTCTTCAGTATACTCTCACCCTGGTATATGTTAATTCATCGTTAAACCCTGTTGTTTACTGCTTGTTGATGAGAGATATTCGACAATCTATACTTTCCATACTGCGAAATGTGTATGCTCGTCAAAACTGAACTGATAGAGCTGTTACTGAGATGACTGTAAACCATGAAACGGCATTCTGAAACAATTAGACTGGTCCATTTTTTTATTAGAAGCAAAAGTTATACAACTGAGAAGTTGAAGAAACTTTGAAGTTTTTTTCGTTTTCCATGGTTTCTGTATAAGTATTACTGCAACACTATATCCTAGGAGACTCTTTAAGGGTCACGGAATGGAAAGATTAACGTTCTGCAAACGTTTTTCAAGGAAGATGCTGACCCAGGGATGAGAAGGGTATTCTACCAAACTGAGCTCTTCAAAGAAGAATGAACTATTACATTGTTTGTTGTTGTCATTGCAATTATACCGTTATCTCTAAAAGCATTACAGGTCTTCGCGGGATGTACATTATGTTTAATACTCAGAATAATAAATGCATTCATAAAGCTTGAATCTAACTGTGTGAAATGTTCATGGA